TATTTTATTATTATTATTATTATTATTAGACTTCTTATTCTTTTTATTATTATTATTATTATTAATATTTTTAATTAAAATAAATTCTAATTGCTTATTAAATAATTTTAGTTTTGATTTCAAATAATATGTTACAATATAATAATAGGCAGCATGGTAAAATATAATATTATAAGCATAGTGTACCCATAGACCCCAAAATAATGCCGGTAATAGACCATGAAGTAAAATATTAACAATACCATTGAGTCCAATACTAATACATACCAATGAACTAACTATTGTCAATAAACTCACACAAATACCTGTAAACCTATTGATCCGATGACACCATTTGGACAGTTGTCTCAATGTAAGCACTGTATGTATGTGACGCACACCACACGCAGCCGGTGTTACACCACCGACACCGGCCAACATTTGCAGTACACGTAGATCTGGGACCTGATTGGCAGCCGAAAAATAGCTGCTAAAATTGATGAACACTGATCCCAGTGCCAGTATGCCGCCCATCCATACCAATAGACTAATTGTTTTGCCAGTGCCGAGAAAATAGTCTGAATCACCTAAATATACTCTTATGGTTAGCAAATCGCCTAAACTATTGGAAAATATTAATATATTTGTACGAATAAAATGTATTAATAGACAACTTAGTACAACAATTGGATGATATATTAAATATCTTTTATTATTATTATTATTATTATCGTTATTTTCATCACTATTATTGAAACAATTGATGGGTTTATATAGTGAAAGACCAATACAATAGAGATGACTATCGGCTCCCTTAACAACTAAATTGTTAGATAATACTCGTCTCGGATTAAAATTATTTTTCATTTTATTGGTGTTGTTGTTGTCATTAATTTATAAATTAAATATTTTTTTCCCAATATTATTAAAATTATTTAACTATATTTATTGAAGTTCAGTAGTTTTTTTTATATAAATAGTTTCTACTATTGATATCAAAATTATACAACAATTATACTAGTTTTTTTCTCATTATAAAATAGAAAAATCATTATTTTTAGTTAAATTATAATATTATTAATAATAAATAATAGTTTTATTTAGTATTATTATTAATATATTAATATTGTCAAAATAAAGTTTATATAAACTCTAAATATATCATAGAATTATTTATTTATTTATAGCTTCGATGATTAATGATATTTATTGATAATTAAAATTTTTTTTGCAGTTAATCATTTTTTATTGATGTAAAATATGACATATATATATATATATACTGTATAATTATATAAGTTATACAAATTTCAAAATATTATATTCATAATACTCAATATATGTAATTTTTTATATTAAATTAATAATTAATGGTTTATATTATAAACTTCATAATATTTGATAAATAATTTTTTAAATTTTGCAAATTGTTTGACATTTCGTTAAAATTGTTGTTATTATTATTATTATTATTATGAAAAAAATAAATATTTTATAATATAAACTATTATATTCAATGTTTCACTTTCAACATTTTCATAATAAATAACTATTTTTTGTTTATTTTAATTAATTATTAATAAAAAATATGTGTGATTATTTATAAGCATCTATAATATATGCTAAATTATTATAAATAACAAATAACTAAAATATAAATACTTTTATAAATATTACGTTACAGTATTTAAAAGTTATATTTAAAAATAATATTTTATCAAAAATTATTAATAAAATCAATGAAAGTTAAAATACTGTAGTAATATATTGTACTGTATTTATGAATATTAATATATATTATACTTATTTATTATGTAAATTACTTATTTATTTAGATCATGATAATAAAGTTATTAAGTTAATTTATTTATATTTATTGAAATTGTATTATATTATAAATAAATAATTTATAAGATAAAATAAAAAAACAGAGATAAAATATTATATTATTTGAATTAAATAATAATTTAAATATCAAATAAAATTGCTATATTATTCAATGTTTATAATAAAAAATTTTTGAATTAAAATAGATCTTGAATTTTAAAATAATAGTATAATAATTATATATATTATCTATAAATAATTCGTATATTTTTAAATATTATATTAACAAACAAATCCTAATCTATACTATATATCAGATTCTTTAAGGGTTTAATATCTTTAAAACTATAATTAAAAAATAATATAAAATTTCCTAAAAATAAAGATAGTCTCCATAAAAAATTTTATTAAAATTAATTATAGTTTTAATTGTCTTAATAGCTAATTTTATAAAATACTTTTTTATTTTTATAATTATTTTTACTATTATAATTATTGTATTTATATTATTTTTACAAAATAAAATAAATTTAAATAATAAAAAAAATTATAAAACCTAACAAGTAATATATTTTTGTATTTATATTATTTGTAAATTACAAATTGTAATTAATAAACATAATAATAATTAAAAATATAAATATTTCGTTAATTTTTTAAAATAATAAATTTATTAAATATTATCTTATGCAAACTTTGTCTATATTAGCTAAATGTTTATTTTTTGTAAAACAAAATTTACATAAAAATTTAAATAACTTAATAGCTTAGTTATAGTTTAATTATGTTTACCTTGAAAATACAAATTTGTTGATTATATTATATAAAAAAAATAAAACATATGATTTGAAAAAAATTATTAAACACAATACACTATAACAAAAATCATTTAAATATTTATTCAATAAATTTTAATTTATTTTATTTGAAATATAATTAGTCAAAAAAACGTCAAACTGTCATCAAATCAGATCATTAGTTAATTTAATATTTAAAATACTATTATTTTAAATTGACAAATGATAATTTATTTTTAACTAATATAAAACTATATATTTGTATTTTTTTTTTAAAATCTTAAATATATAATATTTAACAATAAAATGATATATTAAAATTATGATGATGATACAATATAATAAATCCTATTATACAATTTTTTAAACTAAATTTTTTACTAAAATTGAATTTTATCAACAACAAAAAAAACAATATTTATTTTTATTATTATTATTTATATGTAATGATAATAATGATATGTTTTTGTTGTTGTAGTTTTAATAACATGTCAATATGCCATTAATCGCTCTAATGGACATTATTTTTTCAAATTTACTAAATTACATATTTTTTTATTATTTATATAAAAAGTAAATATAATAAAATGTCATTAAATATAATGACAAATTGTTTCAAAAAAAAATATATTTAGCCTTTTGTAACATTATAATTAACTTATTTATCATTAAGATTTTATTTATTATTTTTTTCAAATAGTATAAATAAGACACGAAAAAATAAACTATTTTAAAAAATTAAAGTATTACTTGATTTTTTTAATAGTTTGAAAATTTTTTGGTTAAATATAATTAACAAACAAAAAATTAAGTTAAAATTATTATGGCTTTCAATACTAATGTTATTTTGTTAGTTAATATTTTACTAGCTGTTTTACTATATCAAAATGTCCATGCTAACTATAGTGAGGAGGATATTAAAAATATGAAAATGATTTTCTGCGGTAAGTATTAGTAATAATTTTTTTCAATTATATTTTTTTTATAGTTAATTATAAATAAATATTTAAAAAAAATATTATTATTATATATATATAGGCGAATGTAAGGACGAAGCCGTACGCAATGATCTAATGAATTACGGCAAATGTGCGGCCAAATTGTTTCCCGATCTGACCAAACAAGTGATGGCCATTAGGGTTCAGTACAAAGACGACATCGAAACGTGTTTTACAAAAATGATGGCCACCTTCGAGGACGTCCAAAAAGATAACGCAGATTTGACTAAAAAAGCCGAAGACTGTTTCCATCAAAATGTTAAAGTAGACGATTTGAAAAATTGTCATTGATCAAAAATTATTGTTTTGATTTTTTTTTTTAAAATTAAAATTATCAATTAATTTTTTTTATAATTATTTTTTCTATTATCTTTAAAAAAAATATTTTAGTAAATTTGTTTTTTATAAATATATATACAGAATATTTTTTTAACTATTTAGTTTGTTTTTAATTTATAATTATATTAGCTATAAATTTTTTTTTTATAAATAAGTTTAAACTTAAAATTATGGTTTTAAGTTACTACTAAAATGATTTATTATTTTTTTTTAAATACTATATCTAAATAATATTTCATCATGATTATAAAAAAATTTGAAATAAAAAAATGTTCAAATAAATAAATTTTATTTATTAGTAAAATAATACTAATATTTTAATTATTTAATAATAAAAATTAGTTACTAATAACTAATGATAATAATATATGTATTAATTGTATTTTAGTTTGCAATTAAAAAACTATAATAATTTGATTAATTAATTTTTTAATTTCAATCAATTGGTTTACTATATTAATCAACAAAAACACTGATTATTTATTTAGCAAAATAGCTTTGTTATTGCAAAATTATTATTATTATTCTTAATTAATTGTTAACTATATTACTAAATAACAATTTAATAGAATATAACTAATTTCATACTTAACTAAATTAAAATTTAATATTAAATTAGTTTTTACATTTTCATTGAGCTTCAAAACTGACAGATTATATATTTTTTTATTGTTATACTACGGATAATAAAAATTAAAAATAATGTTTAAAAACTGTAAGTTAGTAATTAAATAAGTAATTAAATAATATATATAACTATAAAATAATATAAATAGATTTGTTGTGCAAACTATATATTTACTCAACTTATAGTATTATAAATATATTTTAATAATATATTTATATTTATTATAACTTATATGTAATAATAATAATAATTAAAATAGTTTTCTTGAATTTAATTTGATAACATTCATTGGATTATTAATAATAATTAATAACTTATTATTAAGAAAAAATCTTTTTTGATTAAACAAAATCAATATTATTATAATTATTATTATATATTTTTTGCATAATATTATTATACTTAATAATTTTAAATATATTTGTTTGTCTTATTATTATTATTATTATGATTGTCGACAACACTGGTAATCCATTTGGCAAAATAGCTGACATTTGTATAGACACTGGGCGTACCATAAGTAGCGCACCGTTTGCCAAAGCTAACCACCCCGGTCAGATAGTATTGTTCACTATTCAGATCGTACTGTATCAATGGTCCGCCTGAATCACCCTTACAGGCATCACGTTTTTCATCCATTTCCAAACTGGCTACCGGTGCACTGGCACATACAATACGATCAGTTCCCCGGTTGTCATTGTTGTTGTCGACATATTTTTTACCGAAAACATGTCTACAATACCAATCGTCGACAATATGTAGTTCGGCGTCCATTAGTTCGTCGGCAAACTCACCGGTTGGCGATGTCTTACCCCAACCGGCAATGTATGCGATCTCATTGTTGTCCAGTTTGCTTATTTCAAACTCATGGCGATCGCCAGGCATGGACATTGGTATGGGCTCTATTTGTGCTTGAAAATCTACCTGTTCAATATTTATTTATTATTTTTTTAAAAATTTGAAATATATATAAATTATATTTAGTAATTTAATTAGTAATAATATTAATTTATTATTTTTATGCAAAAATAATTACTTAAAAATATAATTCTTAATTTAACTACAGTATTTATTTTTTTCAAATAGTTAAATAATAAAATGTTTAATTTAAAAAAATAATATTATTAAACTGTAAATGTATTAGCTTTTTATATAAATAAGTTTATTATTGAGTGAATATTACTAATTATAGATGAATAATAAATAAACATAATTTATTTTTTAAAAGTAATATTTAATATTTAATAAAACATTAGAAACTAATTAATAAAATAATAATTTTAGATTAATAAATATTTTTTTAAAAATCTTAACAGATTTAAATTTAAATTTAATACTTAAATATAACTATAATTTCAACAATTAATTTAATATTAAAAATATTCAATTAATATATAAATAAAATACATTACATTTTTGTTGAGATGCAAAACTGCCAGATCATTGGCATAGGTTTTATTATTATAGTCGGGATAGATAACAATTTTGTTGACTTTACAATCGTAACCTTTGACCCGTAAATCATACTGTCCCAGTCGTACTACTATATCACTGTTATTCATTTGGATACCGGTGCTGGCATTGACAACACAATGGGCTGCCGTCAGTACATGACTGTCCGATATTAGTGAACCGCCACACGAGTGATAAAATTGATTATTATCTTTTGTTAATAATGCTGCCTATTTTTATATATGTTTTAATTTTTTTTTAAATATATATATATTTAAAATTAGTATTATTAAAAGTTATTCAAGTTTTTAAAAAAAAAAATAAACTAATAAATTTATTTACCATAAATCTCCATTTGTTTGACATAGTTAACATACCGTGAGCTACCAGTCCCATAACAGCATTTTTTTGTCCATCATTTTTATTGATGTTATTGTAGTTTAGTTGATAATCAAATAGATTTTCATTTAATGTTATAATAAATAATATAAAATACAAAAAGATTGTATTAAACATTTTGTTGATATTTATTATTTAGATCATATATATTTGTTGGCTAAATATAAAAACTGTGTTGAAAGTTGAAATATAAAATATGAACCTCAAATAATTCAAATAAAATACAAACAATTGTTTAACACATAAGTTAAGAATAACGTAATTAAACACTTTATTAATTAAACATCAAAACAATATTAAATAATATAGATTATTTGTTATAACTGAGATTATTATTATTGTATTAATTTTATCATTATTATTGATATTATTATTGATATTATTATTATTGATATTATTATTATCATTATTATTATCATTATATATATATAGTCAATTTAATTTAATAAAAAATACATTGCCAACAAATTGTGTAATATAATGGAAAACAAGTTTGCGAAAAAAAAGTTTTAAAACATAGAAAAAAGTTTAACTTTAATGAAAGTTAACTTATATAATAAATTAAATATAATTTTGTTTCAAATAATTATAAAATTTATATTGAAAATTGTTTTTAGTATGGATTTCTAAAAAAAATATATGAATTACTTATTATAAATTAATGTTCATTAGTAGTGTCTCATATATTTACTAATTTTTTTACTAATATTAAATTTCACAAATGATAACATTTTTAATTATTATTATTATTTAATAAATTAGTACTTTATGTAATTAATGTTATGTACTCAGTCTTTTTTTTATAAATAATAAATTATTTTTATATATAATAATATATTTTTTTTGCCCTAAAGTAATGTTGTTTGAGTTCAATGTCAAAGAAAAATTTCTAACATTTTTTGTGTATAAAATATTTTACTGAATGTTAATATCTACTAAAATTTTGTGTCTAAAAATAGTGTAATAATAATAATAATAATTTTTTTTGATTGTAATTAAATACTTTGTTAATTACAGTGAAAGTATGTTTTATTTAAATATTAATTTATTGTCTGCAAAATTAGAAATTACTGTTAAAATTGTTTTGATTTCATTTTAATAACAATTTTTTTAAAGATTATTTTTTTTAATTGAATAAAGTATTGAATAATGTTAATAGTTGTTAATGTTAACATTGATAAATTTTGATATTATTGTTCAATTGAGTAAAAATAGTTATTACGAAATCTAAAAACTATTTTTATTGCTATTTTTATAACAAGTTTATTATATTTAAAACGATTAGTATTTTATTTAAAATAGATGTTTACTAATAATAGTGTAATATTAATATTGTATATATATATAGTATATAAGTTAGATAAAAATTTAAAAATTAAAAATTAATTATACATATAATAGTTTAGTTGTATTAAATATTTATCTAAATTTTCTATATAATGTGACAAAATTATTCATTATAATAAATATTATAGTATGAAAAAACTGTAATATTTATATATATCGTAATAATTATATTGAATAATAATTAATTATAATAATTATAGCTATCTTTAATGAAAAAGTTTTATTATTATTATTTTATCATGATAAATCATAAACCAAATTTTTATAAAAATAAATTTTTAAAAAATATTATATTTATAAATTTTTTTTTAAAAAAAAGTTGTCAATTAATTCACAATATGTTATAGTAATTTATAATTATTGAAAAAAAAAACATTTCTAAATATTATTTTGTAATTTATATTACTTTTCAGAGGTATAACATAAATACAGTAATATATTGTTAATACCAATAATATAATTATCTAACACTTAACCATTGGTATACAACTACCGGTGCTCTCGTGGCGAACCAATGGTTCTCTACAAAAACAACCGGTTACACAATTTTTCGGACATGGTCGTACCAGTTGATTACGGTGCTCACATGTCACTGGACAGGGAGTACCACACTCTTGCCAGATCTCATTTTCGGGACAGTTATTGTCTATTTTTTTTAAATATATATATATATATTTATAACAGAGAATTAATATAAAAATACTATTTAAATATTAGATAATTTATTTATTAATTATTGAAAATTTTGTATATTATTTTAGTGAAAAAATAATAATAATATATTACCTTGACAATTGTACATTAAAATAGTCATTGACAAAACAAGTATTAAGTAAAACAAAAATTTCATTGTTATAATTTGTTAATTAAAAAACTGTATTAATTAAAATAATATTAATATTAATTTAATTTATAAAAAAAAAATATGTTTAATATAAATATCTAATTATACTACCTTATAATAAGCAACAACAAAAATATTATAATAATGCAGTAATAGATCTGTAATATTTAGTTATATGATTTTTAAACATTATAATTACGTAAAGTTTTTTATTATGATTTATTACATATAATCTACAGATAAGTTATGTTAAAGATATTATTAACAATATATATATATATTTTTATAAATTAATTTACAAATTCTAGTATTCACAAACATTTTACTATATTTATAAAAAAAAATATTATTTAAATACTTTTCAATATAATTATTTTTGTTAAAATTAAAATCTAAAAATAGTGATATAAATATAAATATTTTTGTTTTATATTTAGTATTATTATTATTATAATATTTTTTGAACAAAACTTATCTAGATTACATGTAATAAATGTAATAAAATAATATAATAATAAAATAATATAATAAAAACTTTACTTTACGTAATTATAACGTGTAAAAAAATTATTAACTAAATAAATAACATAAAAATTTTGTTAAAATTTATAAGTTTGGAAAAAATATTAGATAATAAAATATCTATTTCAAAAAAATTACAGTTTACTAAACGTACTTTTTTGTTTATTTCATGTTTATTATTAATACAATAAATTTATTACAGTATTTCAATGCATTACATTAGATATATTTTTTTATTAACTATTTATTTATATATAAATATTTATCAAACACAATAAAATTTATAATTATAAAAAAATAATTGTTAATTTGTGATGCATCAAATAGTCATTAATTATATTATAATATAATTTTTTTGCTTGAAAAATATTTTACTACTAATTACAGTATTTTTATAATTAATAATTGTTTTATTTTTTTAAATTAAAAAACCAATTGAAAAAAACTAACATCAATTTAATGGCATCAAACATTGCACCAGGTAAAAAACTAAACTAACTTATCATTGTATGTAAAAAATTACAAAAATTTTAATTAATTATTTATTAATTTATTTTAAAAAATTTAAATTTAAAGCCCAACTCCCAACTATCCGGAGACAATCGGTACGTATATCATGGATATTGAGACACGGAAAACAATTTAGTCAACATATCGACAGTCAAGGGTTTATGTTAGTCGATAAACTACTAGAACTGATACCCAAGTTGACGCTCAGGGATGTCCAGGATATAGTCAGGGATGATAGAAAAGGTCGCTATGAAATGCGTCAACAACAAAATGATGGGACCCTTGGTGACGGTGACGGTGATAGACCAGTCAAATGGCTAATTAGGGCTAACCAGGGTCATAGTCTACAACATATCCAAATTGACAATCAATTGATTACGAATACCGGTGACTATCCGCTAGTAATACACGGAACCTATTGCCAGAATATACAGTCTATACTGGATAATGGTCTGAATAGGTGTAACCGTCAGCACATACATATGGCACAGGGATTTGACGCCCGTAGCGGATCGCGTTACGATTGTACAGCTTTTATCATTATCGATATGCAGCGTGCAATTGAGCATGGTCAACTTAAATTTTATGTATCAAGTAATGGTGTTATTTTATCGGAGGGCGACACCCAAAGGGGTGGTATAATTGATAAACAATATTTCAAAGATATTTTGGATGTTCAGCGCAAAAGTATTGTTTCAAGATTTAAAAATTTTAGTCCACAATAATATCACATACAAATGATATTTTTTATATAAAAAAATATATTATTTATTGAAATTTTTAATTAAATAAAAATATGTGATATTAATAATTGTTTTTGATTTTTAATCAGTAAAAAAATTGTTTCTAAATATTAAAATCAATTTTTGTAATTTTATTTATTATCTAAATTTTATGATCTATAATTTATGAATTTATTAAAATTATGATTTATAAAAATTAATAAAATTTAATTCTATTCAATTAACAATTTATATTTGATAATTAAAATAAAAATACGGTATATATATAAAATATATAGTTAAAGATAATAGTTATAGTATATTAAATTATATTTGTATATCATATAGTAAAATTTTTAAATACTAAATGAAACAAAAAATTATTATTTTACGTAATTTATGTAATAAAAATTATTATTTCCTTGCAACAATAATATGTTACTTTCTCACCCATACTCTCACTCACTCACACATCTCTCTCTCTCTCTCTCACACACACACACACACACACACACACACACACACACACACTCACACACACACACTCACTCACACAGACTCACTCACTCACACATACATACACACACACACACACACACACACACACACACACACACACACACACACACACACACACACACACTCACTCACTTACACACTCACTCACTCACTCACTCACTCACTCACTCACTCACACACACACTCACTCACTCATTCATATACTTTCTTAAACACTCTCATACTGTATGAGTAACAAATAAAATTTGGGTAGTGTCTTTAGTTTACAGTTGCCAATAGCAACCAGAAATCAAAAATAGTTAAGTGCAAATTATAACTAGTGCACTTGTTATTATTAAACTTGTACAACTACATTTTTTACATACTACATCTATATGCAACAATTTATATGAGTGAGGGGTAGAGTGTATGTATGTGTGTGTGTATGTGGGGGAGGAAATGACTACATGAGTAGCAAAGAAAAAGGGGATCAAAAAGTTTTGTTTGTTTTTTTTGTTTAGATTTTATTTTTCTGGTGTATAACCGATAGTGCTATCGACTAATATATTGTAATAATAATAATAATAATAATTTAGAAAAATATTTTAACTGACGTTCAAATGTAATAATACTAATAATAAATAGATATATAATATAATAATATTAATAATAGTAATAATAATAACAATAATATCATTTTAAGATTCCCAGAAATATACATGTATGATTTTTATATATAATTATTTTATATATATATATATACTTAAACTAATAAATTATTTACAAAATTTATAATATACTAAGTTTTTTACTAATATACTAATACTATACTAATATAGTATTTATAATATATATAAGTATTATTATAATAGTGCAATATAATGATGATGCTTGTACAGTTTGTTTATTTATTTATTTAACAATATAATATATATATATATATGATATTTTCGTATAAATTTATTTATTATTTATAGAGTATTACATAAAATTTTTGTTTGTCTAATCCTATGTTTTTTTTTATAAAAAAATATATTTTAAATGTAAAATATTTCTATATTTAAAACAACAATCATTGATTGCATTAGAAAAATTAGTTTGAATTTATTTTTTATTTTTTAAAAACAAAACAAACAAAATTAGTGCTAAACTTATTTTAAACTTTTTTTCCCTGAAAAATAATTACTGCATATATAATCATATAATAATATAAATATATAAATAAAGTTTAACTACTTGTTTAACATATAGATAATAATTTTGTTTGTGTGATAAAAGTGTGTTCAATGGTTTCATCAAATAATCATTTTTTTAAAAAAATGTCTTAAATATCTTATCTATTTATTTATTGATTGATTGATAATAACATCAACAAAAAAAATCAATTAATTGTTATTTAATATATATATATATATATAACAATAAGTGTTGTTTGAATGGCAACAACAATCAGTGCTAATACTAATAGTAGTAGTATTGGTGTTGTTATTAACAACAATAGTAATAATACTACAAATAATGGCAACAATTATAATGTGAATAATAATAATAATAATAATTTTAACAATAATAGTAATAATAATAATGAAGTTTTATTGTTAAACAATTCATTAACTACATCAACATTAAATCATATGAATAATAATAATAGTAATAATACTAATGATAATAATAATACAAATAGTAGGGATATCCATAAAGCAGGTATGTATGTGTGTGTATGTGTTGGGGGATATCAATAATAATTAATATTCCTCCCCCTCACACACAAAAAATCATATAATTATTGTTTATTGATTTACCCGTAATTATTATTATTATTATTATTATTATGTATGTTGAAAATAATTATATAATAATAAATATATATTGTATATCAATATCCACGCAATCTATGTTTATTTAGTTTTATTTAGTTTTATATCATATATTGAATTAAATAATATTAATAATACATTAATGTATATTATAGTAGAGAGTAATAATAATAATAATAATAATAATAATAAAACTGTAATTATATATTTATTTATTTTTAATATCTAATAAATTTTTTTTTACAAATTCAATTAATAGTTTTTAGAAACATTTAATATTTACATACATGTAATCAATATCATTTTAATAATAATAATAATAATAATTATTCATTTATATATTTTTCAAAAAAAGTAAATTTTTTAGTTACATTTTTTTTTAAGAAAATATAATTTTATTTACATACTAAATTTTTTTATTGAATAATTAAACCTAAAAATAAAGTTTATATTATTTTTTTCTAAAAAAAAGTTAAAATAAAATCAACAATTATTGAAATTTTTATTAATTTATTGTTTCAAAAATATTTTACTATATATATATATATCCCAATTAATAGGTTGGCTTCAGTATCTGCCGTATGCCGACCGGCCGTCCACATCAGCTACCGGTTCATCAGTTGCCGCCGTCGCCAACAATGAACACCGATTTTGGGTAGTTTTCTCAGTGGTTAACGAAAGCCAGCCGTATCTTGAATTCTATCAAAAACGTCAACCCCTGCCCCACCTGACCAGTCAACTATCGACACCGGTATCCAAGCATTCGCTGTCCCGATGCCAACACATTGCACCGGCTATTGTATTATCATCGGACAACAAACTGTTCAACGAGTTTGCCGTAACATTGGACCGACAGATACTACGATTGGTGGCCGACTCCGAGCACTCGATGTACGACTGGATTGACTGTTTGAAACTCAGGCTCCGGCAGCTTAATGTACTGCCAGCTCAGGATAATCTTTATATGCGTGAACCGCAACCACTGCCGCGGACAGCTTCAATTCGCCGTCGGCTACAGCACTGCCGGCCACTGCCGCCTATACCTATGCCCAGTGGTAGCGCTGTTTCAGGCACTAGTAGCGGACCAAATACACCGACATCTTTGACAGGAAGTCCTACTATACACCCGAACACACCTACCACTCCTGTAGCCGCTGGCAATTTGAGAGCCGCCTTAATCAACGAACCTCTAACACCGATAGCTTCAACATCTACTGCCGTATTGACAGCCGCATCACCGGCACATCCCAGAGCCGAATCACCCAAAGAAATATACGAAACAATTTTCAATACCAGAAGTCAACCACCACTGCCTCAGAGGACAATACAACGGCAACAAAGCACTAGCAGTAGTACTGGCGCTACTACTACTACATTGGCCGCATTGATTAATACTAACGGTGCTAATAATAATAATAGTAATACATTAGAGACACCGCTCAACAGCAGTGCACCGGTAGATGAGGGTCCGCCACCCTATGAATCGGTGTCGACAACAGATTTATCGCAAACACCGGTATCACTGCGCGAGTCACAGGTATTGCGATTACGCAAAGAGATTGCACATCAATCAGGTGTTAGACTTATGGTTTGTATTGATTTAATTCATATTAAATATTAAACTATAATTTTAATCAAAATCGGTAAAAATTAGTAAAATATTATTTTATTTAATTTGATTGATAATATGTTGTTGACCTAATTAATAATAAGCTATTATCTATTAAACTATTTATTATTTTAATTTTATAATTACAGTATTTTAGACACTTATTTATAAAACAAAATAGCAATTAATTTTAGTTAATATATAATTAATATAAAATGATTTAATATTTTTAATTAAGAAATAAATTACGGTATTCACAAAAATTTAGAAAAATATTTTTTTTTATTATTTGTATAACACATTTGAATAGCAATATAGTATTAAAATAATTAATAACTTTAAAGATTTTTTTATATAAAAAAGATATAAATATTTATCATAAAAATGGAATTATTAATTAAAATGATTAATAATTATATTTACGGTATATATATATATATATAATTATAATACAATTTTTAAAAAAAGTATTATAAATATTATATACTAGAAAAAAACTGCAATATTTTTATTCAAAATAAAATTGTTTATTAATTAAAAATGTTTTTTTTTTGTAATATTATTTTTTACATACAGGTGCGCAAAAAAGACTGTTACCATTCGATAGCATTGTTAGACATGTCGGACGCTTCGGTATGGATCGGCGGTTGGCGTCAAAAAGAGGTCCCAGTTTTGCACAATACGTTTCACGTCGGCGACCAATTGTTGTCCATTAATGGCGATTCGGTATCCAGTGCTGCACAGGCCTACAAACTTATCAAACAAAATACACTATTATTGGAAATTATTGTACGCCGAGTGCCGTACGGCCGGGTATTCTGTATTAAACGTCAACGCGAAGGCCAGGACTTGGGTTTGGTTCGCGAAGGAAATACCGGTGAAATTGTCGGTGTCGTTGGCGGCGGTCTGGCCGATAGGGCCGGTCTGAATGCACGGGCCGTCTATTTGGACGACGAGTGTAACTGGTGTTTGACTGAAGTCAACAATCGGGCGCTCAGTATGTTCTATAAGGGATCGGAAATTCACGACCGATTGTCGGCCGTCGGCAAAGAAATTAGTATTTTAGTTCAACCCGTGATGTTTGTACACAAACTGAGAAAATTGTTAAAACAATTTAAAAATTATAAAGAATATATTGTACAGTAAATTATGTTTTTAGTTAAATTAATTTTTGTGATTGTTTTCTAGTTTTTTTTAAAAATTTAAAATTGTAATTTATTTTTTAAATATTTTTTTTCAATATTATATAATGAAAATCATTTGTATACGTATTTTATTTAATATATATATATAATAAAATCATTAAAAAAATGTTTTATTAAATCATAAATATAATTATTTTGTTAGAAAATTTTGATTTTTTAAATATATAAATTAAAACTATATATATATATAAATATATTTAATATTTCTGAAAATCATAAGTAATTAAAATAAAACAAATAATTTTTATTTAATGATTGCCGAAAATACTTTTGATTTTTATTAGTATTTTTCTGTTTTTATGATTCAAATTAAAATACAGCATAAAATATAAACCAATTTTTTTATCAACAAATAAACGATTATATAGTCATTAAAATAGGTAATAAATATATATTATTTTTATAATTTATAGAAATAGATAACTTTTGTTTATGAGATTTTAATTAATTAATTAATTAATTTTTTGTTTTTTAAAACTTTAAGCAAATTATAAACATTTTTTTTAGTAATTTAGTCCAAATAAAGAAAACAATTTAATCAATAGATTTTTGCCTAAAATATTGTTTAACCGATAGAACACTTGAAACGCTAAACTACCGATAGGTTCGTAATTATTGCGGGGAACGGTATTCATGACGGCATCAATCATATCGTTGACCACAATAGAGGAATCGGTTCCCACGAGTATCTTCGAGACCAACTCATTGGTTGTCTGCTGTTTCCACTGTTGATAGTATTGTTGTCCGTACGCCGATTTGACCGACTGGTCAGTATTCAGGCAAATGTTGTCCATCGAAGCTATTGTTGCGGCAAACAGTCCGGTAGTTTTGAAAGCTCCCGGCATTATAGTGGCCACTCGTATACCAAATCTTTGCATTTCTAGTCTCAGAGCATTGGAAAACACGAGTACCGATGCTTTGGTCATACAATAGGCGCTATAGTTGTCGAGTATTAGTCTACCCATTGTTGACGACATGTTTACTATACGACCTAAACATTATTTTTTATGTTAACAAATGTTTCTTATAATTATTATTTTTTTTTTGATAACTTTTGTTGTTTACCTTTTGATACCCGAAGTAATGGCAGGAATACACGTGTGACCCGAACCACACCAAACACGTTAACATCAAACAGGTGCTCGTAGTCGGCCAGTAGTCCCCACTCGACAGGACTGGTAATCATATAACCGGCATTGTTGACCACTGACCACAACTGGCATTTGTTTTCATTGAGATCATCGGTAACCTGTTTGTACACTTGGCGTACATTGTCATCGTCGGTAACATTCATTTTCAGTACAACCATTTGATCGGTAAATCTACTATTTTTGGTCAATCCTTGTCCGCCATCGCCGTCCGGATCAAGACATGTGGCGTAAACACGAAATCCCCGTTCATTTAGACTGTAGGCCAATAGGTTACCGAAACCCGAGTCACAACCTATTAATAATATATTTAAAGCAAAATTTATTTTTTCCAGTAATTATTACTATATTTAAAAAAAATAATTTAAAAATTCTAAATATTTTAATAAAATAATAATAATAACAATAATTATAATATAATTAAATACCTGTAATTAGTACTGCCTTTCCATATGAACTAATAAATTGTTTTGGTTTAAAATAATGAAATAATTTTGCAATTATATAAAGTGCTAAAAATATTAACAAACAATTAGAGGTAAAATGACATAATTTATCAATTATTTCGAAAATCATATTTAAATTTTAAAAAATGTTTAAATTATAAAAAATAAATAAATATTAAATTAAATTTGAAATTATGAAAAATTTAATTATTGAAAAAATTAAAATGGTCGTCAATTATTTTTTTATAAAAAAAAATTAGATTACTATTTATGGTTAAATAAATTAAAATCAATGTAAATGTAAAAGAATTTAATTAAATATTTATATTTACTTAAAAGCAAAAAATTATATTTTAATATAGTTTTTTTAAATATCTAAAATATTTTATTTATTTTATTACTTTAATATAAATATTGCTTTATTGGTATTTGTTTACAATTTAATATTTCAAAAATATTTTATTTATTAACATTGACTAAATTTATTAAATTTATGATTGATGATTTTATTAATTAAATAAATTTATATGTCTATAGTTTATAAACAACTATAACAAAATAATATAATAAAAGCCATATATTATTATATTAAAAACCTGTCAATTAATTGAGATATTCTTTTGATATTTTTTTAAACAAAAATAAATTTTTTTTATCTTTTTAGTTTTTACTATTAAACATCTATTATTTAATAAAAATATTATTTTTTAACAATATTGTGGATTTTATAGTTGCAATTAGTAAACGATATTATGCTATATTATAGAAAATACTATAATTTAAATAAAAATAATACTTTTATTAATTTACTTTTTAAATAAAAAATATTATTTTAATGAGATATTAAATTATTGATTTCAATAAAAATTTTAATTATTATTATAAGTATTATGTGTTATTTATAACAGTTTAGTTTAATTGAGTAATTGACAATTATTGCTTAAATTAATTAAATAAAAATATTTAATAAAATAATATATTTGAAATAACATATTTCATTTTTATTTTATAAACTAAATATTTAAATAAATAAATATTTACTATTAATTAGTATTTATTATCAAATTACTTATCATTAGTTATTCTTTATTAATATTATAGTCATTGGGTTTATAAAATATTTATAAAATATAAAAAATATTAATAACGTTTCGGGTTTAATATCTCCTAAATTAGATAAATAAAATATGTATAATAAAATATTAGTCTACTTTAATTATTGATTACAGTATTTTAATTAATTTAGTAAATATTTCACTTAGATTGCAATAATTATAGTTTTAAAATAAAAATTTTTGTAATAAATTAGTAATCAATTTTATTTTTATGGGTGCAAAATTTTTAGAAAAAAAATATTATTATATATTTATTTTAATAACAATTTGTAATTATAGTATAATTTTATTACAGTAAATCCAACATTAGATAAAACAAATTTATATTATTTTAATGATTAACAATTTAAAATAAACTAAAACCATATAGTTATATGAATATGATAATGTATATTAATCTAATAATATAATTTTTTGTTTAATAAAATTTATATACTGTACTATTATTAGATTAAGAAAAAATAAATTAATATCAACATGGTTATTATTAAAAATATATAGTTAATTATTGATATTTCTAGTTTGATATCTAATATAAAATTATTTATTATTTAAAATTATTAGTTACAGTATTAGAATTATGGATAAATTTAAACATTTACTTATCATTTATTTAACAAATTTGTGTAATTTTAATAAAATTTTAATTCGAAATTTTTTTATTGAATACTATTAATAATTGTTAAAAAAAATATATTTTATGCTATTTTAAAAATTATTAAATTTTTAAATAATTAATTTAACAACATTAAGCTATAATTTAATAAATAAATTTATATCATTATTTTAAGTATAATTGTGTTATTTTTAAATACATATAATCTGTAGTTAATCAACAAACTAATAATCATATAATTATTAAATAAACTAGCTAAAATAGAGTAATCATTATTTACTAAATAGTTGTATTTATAAGATTATATAACTTTAGGTAATCGTTTACACAATTACTAAAGTAATTTGTTAAATTTATATTAAATTTATTATTACTACTTATAATAGAGAAAAAAAGCAAACAAAAAGATACTAATAAGTTAATAATAAGATTTTATTTTGTTATAATAAAATCCTTGAATAACATAAAGTTAAACTATTTCTCATTAATCACAGAAAATTTTTTTTTGACAATAATATAACTTTATGCCTCAGATTGTATTACATTATATTGATTATATATATATATATATATATATATATATATATATATATATATATATATATATATATATATATATTATTTTGGGAAAAATAACTAACATAGTTGTCATTGTGGAAAATGTTTCACTATTACTTTTATAATATTATATATATATAATTTATATGTAGAGTATATATATTTTGTCATAATATATCTATATATATATATCATATATATACAGTATATATATAACTAAAACGGATCTATTATTTGAATCAATATCTATTTTTTATACCTATTATAGTTTATGTGATTTATAGCTCAAATTGCATTTTATTATACAGTAAATACTGTACGACAAAATCTAATACATGTATATGTATTTTGTGTGTTAAAATAAAATGTCATATTTTATTATCTTTTTTTATTATAAAATTTATTATCTTTTTTTATTGAGACATTTTCTATTTTTATATTGTTTAATATCTATAAATTATAATAATTTAATTAGTATTTTAGTTTTTGTATTAAATAATATTAATAGTTGAATAATCTTATTAGATTATTATTTTAAAAATTTAATATTAGCTTATATATAGTTATTATATTATTACTAAAAATATTACGAAAGTTTTAAAAAATTATTTATAAACAAAATTTAAAATATTTTACATTATAAAAGCATATAAAATATATATTTTATTTAAAATAATTTTTAAAATAATATACTGTTTATTATATAAAAAAATATATTAACTTTTAGTAAAATATATTAAAACTCTCATATTTAAAATTAAAATAAAATTTCAAAACATTTTCATGCTTTCAAAATTAAATTTATATTTAATTCACATTTTAAAAAAAAGTATTCAAACATTTATTCAGAAATATATATTTTACAGTAAAATGTCGTTTTATTTTTATCCTATAAATATAAAAACAAATATATTAAAATATAAAATATTTTTCTAAAAAAAATTGAAATATAAATCAGTTTTTCTATTTATCATAATATATATATAAATATATATCATATTATATTAATGTTTTGAGATAAATAAAATTGAAGAACTAATCGTTTAGAAAATTTTATTTGATTTATTTGTTAAGTTTTATACATAAAATTATTTAATTGTTAATTTATTGAAACAATTTAATTTCATTTGAAAATAAATTAATTTATTTTTTTATTAATCACTTTACTTGTGTAAAACTGCCTATTAATTTTTTCTAATGTTATTAAATTCACATATTATATTATTGCATTTAAATTTAATATATTTTAACTATAATAAAATATTTTTTATTTCTCTTTTTTTTATAACAATAAAAATATAAAAGCCAAATAAATCTAATTTACTGTATAGTAATAAAATGCTATAATAAAGTATATATTATTTTTTTAGATAATACTTTAGAGGATAATTTTTGGAAAATAATTTTTAAAGTTTGTATTAACTGATTAAATTTTATAACTATTGAATTTTTAATAAATATGTATTATGTTATTATTATTATTATTATTGCATTATCAATGAATATGAAATATAATGTGTTTGAAAATTGTTAACCAGTATTATCTATAAATTTTGTTACATTGTTATTATATAATATTTAATTATATTCATATATATATATAGAATATTCTTTATTGTAGTTTATATTAATATACTATAAATGTTAATTAAAATTACATGTAATACAGAATTATGTATATATATATATAGACAATAGAGAGATAAGAATTTTATTATTTAATTAATATTTTATTTTGTTAATATCAATATACAATAATACATATACTTGTAAATTTTATTTGTTTTGCAAGTAATATATATATAAGTATTTTTTCATTTAATATTGCAAGTTAGCATTCATTTTAGCATTATGTTTTAGGGAAATATATACGATATATATATATTGTACTGTATATAACATATACAGTATATTGCCATTACTTTTGCATCACTTATTTTGTTTTGTATCCAATGTATAGTATAGACATACATAGACACACACACTTCAAAAGTAAAATCAATAATGCCTAATGCATCCTTGTTTTTGATATCGTATCACATTATAACATATATACAGTATATATATATTGATATTTGTAATCTATAGAAGTAATATACGTTATATATAATGTATATATGTTGTATGTTAATATGTTTTTACTCAAATAGTTGTGTGTGTGTGTGTGTTTAATTAATTTGCAATTTGTGAACTAGTTATTTCAATAGTTATCAAGGTTATCAATACATTCATATTGATTATACAGTACTGAATAACTATCCATTAAAATCTGGATCCACTTAAAGTGATTTTCTTATAATGATTCTTACAATCAAATGAAAGATCTGTTTTTAATTATAGAGAGAAAGAGAGAGCGAGAGAGAGAGAGAGAGAGAGAGAAAGCGATAAATACTACTTTTATTAAATAAAAGTCAATTGCTATACAAATAAAGAGAATCACATTTAAACTAATGAACATAAAATAGAGAGATATATAATATTATTTTAAATATATATATACAGAGTTAGGCTTATATGCCGCAAAATAAAATAACGCTATATCTCTGTCATTTTCATATTTATTTTTATCAATTATATATATATTTTTATAAAAATAATTTAAAATTTTTATGATAATGTTTTTATTTTAATATACCGTATGTGGAAAAACTGACTATAATATTAGTAAAACTAAGATTATCATGTAAATCTTTCACAAAAATCAACTTAAGTTTGTGTTGAATTACAGCAAACACAAGTCAAATTTTACTAATTAAGTTAATTTTAATTAATTATAATTTTTTTAAAAAATATAAAGATATATAATGGATTAAAAATTTTAAAAACTGCGAAAAAATTTATTTTTACGATTATAAATATTTAATTTTCGATTGAATATTATTCAATACAATTAATAGAAGATAAATTAAAACTTTGGACTAATTTAAAATATTTTAAAGTTATAGAAAATAGGAATTAAATTTAAAATAAATATTAGTTTAAATCAAATATTTGAGTAGCAAATTAAATGAAAATTTCAAAAAACATTATTTTTAGTATTCTAAATAATATTTTAAATAATAATTATTAAAAAAATAATGTAAAAATAAAATAAATTTAAATAATAAAAAAAACCATTTTCATAAATAACACAATTTTTTAATTTGTGTTTTAAAATTTGAAAAATAAACTATTTAAATTATATTGTATGTCATATGTTTAGTAAAAGTGATTTTTAATAAAATAAATAAAAATTAGATTTTTATGAAACTTAAAAAAATATATAACCATGAATAATGTAAAATTTAAGTTTAAAGTAATTTAATGAATTTTTTTAAATTTTAAAAATTTATATTATTAAATTAGGCCTGATAAATTAAGATTTTATTGAAAAAATATTGAAAATTTGATATTTTCATTATTTAATACATAGATGAAAATATGCATATCTTTAAAAATATCAATTTGTACTTTATATTATTTTATTAATTTTTAAAATTATTTTTAACCAAAACTTTAGTCTTTTTTTCACATTATTAAATTTATTTCAGATTTTTAATTCATGTAGTTTTTTTATAATGAATTTTTATATTTTTGCGCCTTATATGCCTAACCCTGTATATATATATACAGTATATATATATACTATATATTACTTTATTACTTTAATTGAAAACAAAATTATGACAGTCTATTATTAATTACTGGGCATAAATCATAATAAAACTTAATAAATTATATATACTACATACTAAACTATTTTTTTAAATAAAAAAATGATATGCAAGTACAGTGTGTATGTGTGTGTATAAACAATATTAACAAAATTGTAATAATTAAAAATAATTATTATAGACACTTATACTAATATTATAAATTTACTGTTTTAATATTTACTATATATATATATATATATATATATATATATATATATATATATATATATATTATATATGTTCATGAATGCATCATTAACACGCAAAATAAATAATACAATAAATACTCTCTATTATGTATACAAAATTAATTATTAAATTATTAAATTATACACGTGTATTAACTTTTAGTATTAATAATAAAGTATATTATATTTATTTTATGGATTATAATATTATATTGTTATAACTAAAGTGTTAAAAAATGATTCAGAAAATATTAATCTATATTTTATAAACATTTTATATATTAAATAATATATATATATATATATATAAATACCGTATATACTGTACATTATAGTAAATTATTAAGTATTATATAAATGATTATATTTTATCCTTTATAAGAAAATATAGTTTAATACTATATGTATACAGTAAAAGTACGGTATAATACCTATTCAAGTACAGTATTTACACTATTAATAAATATTATTAAAAAACACAATAAACCTCTTAAAGTAATTGTATTGAAAATAATGGTTTGAGACACTTATAAAATATATTAGATATATAAAAAATATAATATAAATTTTACTTTTATCATCATTATATATATTTGTTATATATATATATATATAAAGCACACACACACACACGTGCACTAACAGATAAAATAAATAACACAAAAAATAAACGGTATATATATCGTGAAAAACAAAAAAGACGGTATATTTTATTATATAAATATATATACAGGTATATATATATATAATTTATATAAGTATTTTGACTCAAAGTTTTTATAGTACGGTTAAATCATATATATATATACAGTAAACCCTATACAATAAACTAATACAATATATTATATGCGAAATAAATTGCTTAACAATTGAGTGAACACACAGATACAGTCACACACAAACACACACACACACACACACACACACACACACACACACACACACACACACATACATACATACACTAAACCTAACATCGCTAACAAAATTAATGGTCTAAATGTTTGCCTGAATTGATTAAATGAAAATTGAATTTTTCTGCTCACTTTTCGATGTGTTTTACTGTACATATCCAATATAAACTATATTAATAGTATGTACAGTAATAGCCCGGGCGTTAAACCTCTACAATAAAATAATGTTAAACTTACTGAAAGAAAAAATAAATAAATAAATAGAAATAGTTTTTAATTTAGTTTTTTTTAATGAAAAATATAATCAAAGCACGTTTTGTAGGATTTTAGTTTTTTTTGAAATAATTGATTGTTTTAACTTATAATATAATATTAGTATTTATTTAATTTAAAATTTAATGAAAATTATTTGCTTAATACTTTAAATGTTTTTCTTAGACAACTATTTACTTGTAAACAAAATGTAATAAATGTTAGTAATTTGATACAAATACTGTATATATTAAAAAAAAATTAAATAGCTGTAAGTTTTGAAATTAATTTTTTAAAAGATTAAATAATGAAAATCATTGCTAAATAAAAAAGACAATTTTTATTTGATAAGAAAATAATTACTTTAATATTTTAATATGCTTATATATATATTGAAAATATTAATTTATTATAACAATATATTTATATAATATTTATTGTATAAAATATTATTATATTAAAAATTTTCAATATTATTTTTAGCATTTATTTGTAAATAAATAAATAAACTAAACATTTTAAAAACTAATAATATTTATTTATTTTTTGATTAACATTATACATTAATTTTATTACATTAAAAAATATAAACAAAAAAAATAATTATCATTAAACTATAAAAAATATTTTGTTGTGTTATCGACATTTATTCTATATCACATTAACTTAATTTTTTGAAATATATATATATATATAAATTATTTATATACAGTATATATATATATCGTATAATAGCAATAAATTTTCCATTATATTTAATATTTTATATATATCTAATTGACAGTACAATAAAAATACATCAAAATACAAATAAAAATATATTTTTTAAAATGTATAATACAATATACTACTGTATATATATAGTGTATATGTTAAAAAAATGAATATACTATATAAATGACAATTTTTTTTGTAAAAACATTTTTATTTGTTGTTGCTTATTTTAACAATAATAATAATAATTTCATTTGTATAATGATTAAAATATTTTTATTTTATTTTATCTATTCAATCATGTGTTTATTATTATTATTATTATTTTTTAAAATAATGATCTAGCTAAAAAATTCGGTAAAATTAGATAGTTTAAAAATACTATCCAAATATTGTTGGGCCAAATCGTTGGCCAATTTGGTCAATTCACGCGAGTCTAGATTTTTGCAAATATTTTGCAAAACACGCGTTACGAGCGTATCGAACGAACGGTTTAATGGAAATATCAGACCACGTGTTCGACACTCGATATCGGCAATGGAAACGACTCGCAATTGGGTAACACGTGTTGTCTGTGACGTGCCTTTTGGCCGCAAGTCTAGGGTTAGTTCAACGTAGAGGACAAACTTTTCGCAAAATATGCGCAACGATTTACGTTTGACACGTATGGGTGTCACATTGGCACTGAACTTTAGGTCGGCCACCATATCGGTTAGCATCAGATGAGAGCACAGTCGAAATTTTAGGTCAGATTCTCGGGACTTTACAATATACGAGTCACCGATCCGTTCAAAATTGGTTATACCGTGTATAACACCCGACGTTACGATAAATTTGACTGAAAATAATCAAATATTTTTTTTAAAACAAATAAATAAATAAATAATTTTTTTATGTATTATTTGTAGTAATTTTTAAATTAAAATTAATTAAGTTAGTGATAATATATGCAACTAATTATACACACAGATAATAATTATTCATAAATAAAATTAAAAGAGATATTTTTATTACTAAAAACTTGCATTTATTAACAAATTAAATTATAAATAATATTTATTTATATTATTATTATTATTATTATTATTATTATATACTGTATATATATATATATATATATATATATATATATATATATTAAAACAATTTATATAATTAATTTAATTAATTTATACAAAGTATTAAAATATAATTAATATTTTTTTAAATCAGCAATTCTATAAAATAAATACTAGTATTAAACATTACATAATTAACTAATCAGATAAATTAATCCGATATTTTTTATTTAATATTTTTGCAAAATATCATATAAATAAATAATTATTTTTTTGCAGATAATATTTATATGTTTATATTTTATAGTATGATGAAAATGGTTATAAATTTTTTATATAAAAATATATTACACAAGATTACATAGTTTTTTAAATTTTTTTTTATTTAACTAATATAATTTGATGTACCTAGATAATATTTATTATTAAAAGTTATTTACTTAAAATGTTTACAATATACTGTAATGTAATAAAATATTGATATATAATTTATACTGTTTAATAGACTGCTATGTTGATTAATTATGTATAGCTACTATGTAAATAGCTTAATTTTAATTATTAACTAGTACAACTTTGTACTACTAGAAAACAACATTGTGAAATTAAATGTATTAACTAAAATTTAGTTTGTAAGCTATATAAATTGATCGATATATATTGTTTTTTATGATTTTTTCGTAAACATTAAAATTAGATATATATATAAATATTAAAAAAAACTACTAACATGAATTTTGTTTTAAAATTATTAATATTGCGACAAACATAACTTAATTGAATTATCATGTACAATAATGTACATATATATACAGTACAGTATACTGTACAAGCATAAACATTAATATAATTAAATTTACCTAATTTACCCTAATTAAATTAGACAAACTTGACATAGACATGCAATTAATGTATATATAAAAAATATATATTTTATTTTATATTTGTTTTTTATATTACCTTGTGTGTGTATATATATATTAATAAATATATATTAAAATATATATATTATAAAACAATAGGGAATATAGTTAAGGTTTATTTTAACAGTTACAGCGTACCCACTGTTTGTTGTCAAATAAATATAAGAAATATAAATAATAATAATAATAATAAAGAAATATATATAAAAAAATAATATTTATATAAAATATTTTAGTTTTTATATTATTTATTTTTTTGTTGATATGACATTTATTAAATAAATACTCTTTATTATCTAAACACAGATAGATAGTACAGTACTGTTTATTTACAGGTCCAACAAACATAAACTAAACGTCAATCAATATTTTATTTATATTATATTATATTTGTGTCATACCATTAATAAATAAAGATATATATATATATAACTGTCACACACACACACGCATATATATATTTATATATACACCACATACTGATCTTTGCAAACTCAACACAACATCAAAAAATAAAAAAATAATAATAAAATCATTATTAAATACATACCATATTTTCTTGGACTAAACTCATAGCTCTGATCCAAAACATAGGGATCAATAACTTTTAGGTAATTATCTCGCAAATAGTCCAACAATTTGTCGACAAATCGATTGGCAGTAATACTAGTGTCACCGCCACCACAGCTACCGATGATTATTGGCGGCAATTCGGTACAGTGTTCCGATTCGACACTACCGGTGCGCTCACCCATAAACGGTCGGCCACTTAGCGATGAATTACGATAATTATTATTTTGTTGTAATAGTTGTTGTTTTCTAATGTGTTTGCAATTTTTATGGGCTATCGGCGATTGTGTGGCCGCCGCACCTTGTTTTAGGCCATCAGCACCACCTGTGCTGTTGATAATGGTATCGGATCTGTTAGCGTTGTTTGTATTATTATGCTGATGATTGCCAACGGGAACGGTATGCAATAGTTGTCGCATTTTGTTTGCAATTAACTCCATTATTGCTGACAGCTATCTATCTATCTATATATATATTCAATATATATAAATATAATATATACCGGTATATACCAGTTATATATATATATTGAAACTTTCAAATTGTTATTATTATTATTCCTATTATATTTCAAGGATCTGGATGCTCTCTAGATAAATAAAAAAATAGTAAAATAAAAAATACTTGATTGTTGTCAACAACTATATATATATATAAAAAACTATTAGTTTGTCAAATATATAAACACTTTTTGTTGATATTTATTTATAATAAATAGTGTTATATGAAATAAAATTAAATAAAATATATATATATATAATAATAAAATGTTTGGTTTGCTCTCATTAGTCATTCAATTCATGTTTTTCTTTAAACATCTTTTTTATTTATTTTTCTTATTCACTGAATTTCAAGTAATACTTGTCTCTCTCTCTCTCTCTCTCTTTGAAGAGATTTACTTACAAACACATACACAGAATATTCTTTACATTTGTTGCACTAAAATGTTTTATATATATATATATATATAAAATAAAATTTTAAAGTTTTAATGAAAACATTTTTGAATTTTTTAATATACAAAATCTTTTTACAATATATATATATATATATATATATATATATACGTTTAAGTGCAAACTTAAATATATGTATTTATTTTATATATATATATATATGTGTGTGTATAGTATGTGTGTATGTGTTTATATCATATATGACATTATATTTAATGCTCATGTATTATGCAATGAAAGCTATTTTTTTTTATTCTTTAGAAATAATATAATATAAATAAAAAATATATTTCAATGCTTTTAAACGCTTGTTTAGTCATTAGATATGATTTGCATTAAATTTGAAAAAATAACAGTTTTAATATTTAGATATTTATTTTATTTTATATTTCTTTCTGCATTTTATTTATTTAGACGTTAGACATATGATTTTATTAGCACAGAATATTCTCTATATTAAATGAATGCATTAAATGTGTTTTATATAAGATTAATAAAATGATATTAATATATGATTTATACAATATTATAAATAATAATAATAATAAGTAATACTATAACTTTCAAAAGCAAACATATATTAATTTATATAAATATTAGATTATGATATTATATTAAATGCGCAAAAATATTTTTAATATAAATATTGACATATTTTGTAATCACATACTAACAGACACACACACACACACACACACACACACACATTGACAGATAGTTTTAATACATACTATACTATATGTTATAAAATAATTTTAATTATGATCTCAATCTAACCGAAAATAATATATATAAAAAAAATTTTGCAAAATTTTATTTTATTTATTTTTTGCTTAAAAAAAATCAAAAATCATTATTATTTTATATGCATCTATAAACTATTCATCAACAAAAAAAACAACACCAACGAAAAATCATGCAAAATATTGTATCATCATTCATATATTATATTTAAATATTAATATATATATATATATAAAAATATAGTATTACTTATCGTTTAGTGAGCACTGGCATGTTGTCACACACACAAGTTAACTGTTAGACTATGTAATGGACAGGGATTTTTCATGAAAGCATTGGCTCATATTAAATATCATATACACATCACATACACACATATATATAAACACTCACAGAATTACAGAATCACACATTTACTTATTTGTATTGTACTGTACAGTAGTATAATATTATACATCCCTGTGCTGCTGCTGCTGCTGTAAGTCAGTCAGTTAGTAGGTGTGAGCTGATGATGATGTTTGTGTATAGTATGTATGACATCCACTTTTTTTTGTTTGTTTGTTGTCGATATTGCACAACATTTGCTAACTAATGGTAAACACATTGTGTGTATGCGTGTCTACTTTACTCAACTATAGTTTGAATGTTTTTTAAAGATAGACTATATAACACACACACAATTTTGTTGTAAAATATATATATATATATATATATATTAAAATATATAACACACACATTATACATATAAACTGTATATAGTTTTACTAAACATTTTTTTGTTGAAAAAAGGGTCACCACTTCATCGTGGATGAAGTCAATGCCAATACCGACGCCAACTCCGTTACCGCCACACCATCGACTCAGTTGTTGGTGTGTGTGTGTATGTGTGTATGTGTGTGTATGTATGTGTATGTATAGTATGTATATGAGTGACAGCACTGGTAGGCATTGTTGTACTGTACTATGAAATTTTTGTATGGCTTATAGCATACTCAACAACTATAGAGGCATTGACAGTGAACTAGAATTTATTGATTTTCTATTTTATGGTTATATAGTTAGATATTGCACTATACATACTAACACACACACACACATACACACACACACACACACATACATACACACACACACATACATACACACACACACATATATATATATATATATATATATACTGTTCAAATTAAATATGCATAATTATAATGCAGTAAATTGTATGCAAATTTAAAACTTTTTTGAAATTTTGTTGCAGATATTAAAAATTTTATTTTTATAATTTTCTATATAAAATTTTATCTAGTTGATTTTTGTTTTGCTATTTTTTAAAAGTTAAATATTTACTTTCTAGAATCTTATATAAAAAATAAAGATAGTTTTTTTTTAATTTATTTCTAATATATTTAATGTGTTTAACATTATTTATTTTTCTAAATATTTAGTTGTTTTTTTTAATTAGCCATAACTATAAAATATAAACATATATTTTAATAAAATAAATGAATTTTTAATAACTTTTAATTTTTATAAAATACAATTTAGTAATTAACAAAAAATAATATATTTTATAAAAATAAATAATTATAAAACATTACAGAATAATTAAATATATTAATTTATTAAAATAATATTTATGTTTATTTATTATATTGAACTAGTAAATGCAATAATTATTTTAATATACAATTTAAAAATTAACACTAATTGTAAATTACTATAAAAAAAATTGAAATAATATATTTTTAATTAAGTTAAATAATTGATGTTTACAAGGATAACAAAATTAATGATATTAATTGTTTTTGTTTTAAAATTATTGTATTGTTATAAAATTGAAAACAAAATTAGCAAATGCAAAAATCAATAATAATATGTAATTATTGTATTATATTAATTAAATTTATTGAATATTTTTTAATTTGTATATTATAATAATAAAGTCAATATTTATATAAAGATAAACACTTAATATAAATATTATTTATCATATAATAACTTTTAATCAATATTTGTTAAATTTTGTTAAACTATTATTATTTATTATATTAATGCTAATTATTAATTTAAACAAAGTCTATTATATTTAAAAAATATATTTACAATAATTATATATACAAATATATACAATATATTGGAAATTAAGTAACTATAATATAGTTTTAATCAATTTTATTTAATTAATTAATATTTTTTTATTAAATTTTTCTTAGATATTAACGAAAAAATATTAATAATATTTTACGAATTTTTAAATATATTAAAATCTATGTAAAAAATAATAGTTATTTTTTGTTTAAAAATGATAATTTAAAAAATTTATTAACTTAAAACATACATGATTATATGATATCATATTCAAAAATTTATAATAATAATAATAATAATAATAATAATAATAATAATAATTCAATAATTTATCTAAATGGTAAATAATAATCATTTTAAAAAAACTGCAAAATGTAATGAACTAAACTATAGAAAAATATACTAAATAATAATATTTAATATATTTTTTGTTAATTATAATAAAACTATTATTGAATTTTATGCCTTTTTGGCCGAACTGCTGGCCGCACCGGCAGCCGACGCGGCACTGGCAGCTTTAGCTCCGTAGCCACCTTTTAGACCACTGATGCTTTCAATACCATCGTAACTGCCACCCAACAGTCCGCTCAATCCCTTTCCACCTACCAGTCCACCGCCCAGTCCGCCGCCCAATCCGCCGCCCAGTCCACCGCCCAGTCCACCGCCCAGTCCACCGCCAAGACCGCCAGTAATGCCAGCAGCGGCGCCGGCAGCCGGAATAATACCGCCCGAAACTCCCAGTGCACTATTCTGGCGACCCTCGCCGCGGGCAACAATAGTCTGGACATCTTCGACAACCGGTGCAATCTCCTGGACCACACGTCTGTACGGTATGATAACTTCCCTGAGCTCCTGGATAACTGGTCGGACCACTTCATGGGACAAACGATAGGGTTCTTCCTCTGATTTGGTCGCCTCTTGTTGACCAGGAGCACCTGTAGATAGGTAGGTAGGTCAATTTGATAATGACGGACAGGTAGATAACAAAAATAAATAATTAATTAATATTAGTTGTTTCAAAAACATTTAACAAACATTAAATTAGTGTAGTTATATGTATATGTGATTAGGACAGTTAGGATACAGTTTATAGTACAGGTAGTAGTCTAGTCTACTGTTACTATACCGGGTGTATGTATTTGTTGGACAAAAACGCCACTTGATTTTGAATTGTACAATATTTTTACTGGCAATTCAATGGCCGGTATCTCAATAGTTTGCGGTTGAATCGGCTCCTGTGTCAAGTGTACGGGTTTGATGTCCAATCGCCAATGCGATTTAATGGCAGCGGGAATAATGTTATTTGAATGGCCACTGGAAATAATGCCACCGCCTCCGCCACCACCACCACTACCATAGCTACCGGAGCTAATGATACCGCCATACGAGGCATAGGTTTGTGCAATGAATGCAGCGATTACTACAAACTGTAATTATAAAACAATATTAGTATTTTGATAATAATAATAATTTTTGATATTATTTTATTAGCACTACATTTTCATCTATAATAATTAATATTTTATAAAAATTTTCATATTTACCTTAAACATTATTAATAATAATAGTAAATTAAATTGTTAACTTTAAAAATTAACTATTAATTAAATTAATATATATATATATTAAAATTTACTGAATCAGTCAATTAGAAACTGTATAATTATATTTCAAATATATATTTCAATTATTTAATGAAAATTTGAATTTAATAATTTTTAAATGACAAACATTGGCTTTTATATACTTTAATAATTTGTCAAATATTATAACTAGTATTCGTATAATTTTGTTTTACTATTATTTTATTTATTTACTTATTTTAAATTAAATAAAAATAATTGCACAAAAAAAGCTGTATCACTTTTTTATATTATAATAAAATCTATTTTAAAAATACTGTATTATTTATATTTTGAATTATATACACTAACACACTAACACTTCAAATCTAATTTAATGCATTTTATTGTATTTATATTTTATCAAATTTATGTTTATTATATTAAAATTTTTACTTTTATTTAAAAAAGTCAAATATAGTTCAGATTTTTATCAGATATATATATATATACAGTATATATTCACTTTTATTATGAAGTTATATATTATGCATATATTTATAGTCTGATACAATTTATCATATAAAATGTATATTCAGTATATAATGTATACTATATTAATAAAAATTAATAATTTAGTAACAAATTCTTAATTTTGTCATAAAAATTTGCATTTATAATTTATATATATATATATATATATATACACACATTAGACTAAAATATATATAATCTAATTGTATTAGAGTTTTACGGAAATGTAATAATATTTTTAAAAAAATAATAATTTTGTTTATTGTTGGCATTAAATTAAATATTCAAAATATGCAATGTGTTTTAGTAATTAAAAAAATAATATTTTATATTATTTTAAGTTAACAAAATAGAAAACTTTTGATAAAATAAAAATTTAAAATAATAAAAATTTTAATTGAATTGGAATTTTATTATTTAATTTAATATAATAATTTTTATTTTCAATATTATTATTATTATCATTTCAAAAATTTTTAACATAATTTTTGTTAGAAATTCATTTGAGAATATACTTAATATATATATATATATATAAATGAAATATATAAATAAAATAACTATATAACTTTTATCATTATCTAAATCTAATTTTTTTATTTTGGTTTAAATTTAAATTAGATTTAAAACATCAACAAAAAATATTATAATAAAAAAATAATTATAAAATGAAACACATCATCATCATAACCAACAACTACAACAACAAGCAAACAAAATTGAAAAAGTTTTTAAATTAACAAAAAATAATACTAATATCTCTTAAGGGTTAATGAAATTAATGGACTAAACGTTATAAAGTGAAAAGTTTTTTGAAGGCATGTATACAGTATGTGTACTGTAAGTACTATAAGTGCATATTTAATTCAATATACTATACTGTATATTATAAGTATATAAAGTGTTGCTAATACAGTATATATACTGTACTTTTATATTATTGAGAGAAAAAAAAATTATAGCACTGGTATGTAATGATATATACAGCTAACAACTTTACATCACTGGTATCGACATCATCAGCATCTGCAGCAACAACAACAACAACATTAACAACACGTTGTTGTGAGAGTGCATTAGCCCAACAGTACGGCTATTAACTCTCTCGCAAGAGTTGTCGGATGACCTGTGACTTGAAAGAGAGAGAGAGAGAGAGAGAGAGAGAGAGAGAGAGAGAGAGAGAGACTGTAGTATTATAATACCCGTACCCTTTGAGAGCACTTGGAGGCACATGTATGTGTGTATGTGCTGTTAGATAACAGATTTTTTGTTGTTGTTGTTGTTGTTAGGTATAGTTATTTTAACTATCAGATAATGTTTATTTTATACCGGGATTTTTTTATTGTTGTTGTTGTTGTTGCTTGATTCAATGTATTTTTTGTTATTTATTTATTTTGATATTTGTTGCATTTATACAGTATAATTAAGCTTAATATACGCATATAAATAGTGTATAATATATTATACTTTAAACTTTATATACCATATACTTTATATGATAGTATCATTTAATGCAAATTGTTATTTATGTACAGTATATATATATATAGTATATAATAAAAAAGGTTATTTTATATATAGTTATAAATTATATAACTTATATAATGATTATAATTTATCTAATATATAGTTTAATTCATTGGAAATCATTAGTTGTTACTATACTATAATATTTAATTCATTCTCAGTATAAAAAAACGTGTATAAGTTTTTTTCCTAATATAATTCAATATTACAGATAAAATTTATTTTTTTTAAATAACATTTTCTCAATGTTAACTAAATATACAATTTATTTATCAATACTGTTTAATATATATAAATATATAAACTATTGCAATTTAAATAAACAACATTTTACAATAATAATTATTGAACAAAATGTTAATTTATTAATAAAGGATTTTTTATGAGGAACTCTCCTCTTTAATGGTTAAATAATATTTATTTTTTTAAAAATTGTTTTCCGGATATAACTTATACAGTAATATACTGTATATTATGGTATTAAGCAAATAACTTACACTTAATACTTCAAAATAAAATATAAATTTTATTTCACTAACAATTAGCTAATATTTATTTATAATACTATATATAAATTGATTATACTATACTAGATGTACAGGTAAAACCTTATTTCCCATTATTATTATTATCACTGTATTGCCTAATGTTGATGTGTAATGTGCTTATTGTTGTCAAAAACTTTTTATATAAAAAAAATAATTTTATTATTTATAGGTGTGATTGAATGGCTATAAAAAACATTAATAATATTTTTTTTTACTTTATATCTCTCTTTGAGATTTTATTTAGTCGTTGTTGTTATTGTTGAATACATTTACTATTGAAAAAACACAACACATATATTAAATACTACTTGTATAGAAAGTTTGAGATAATTGAAAAAATTATTTTTTTATATTTTGTGTGTGCAATAACTACAGTATAAATATATTGAATATAAAATACTGTATTATTCAATATATATATATATATATATATAAGAGATTTACAGTGACTTTATGAGAGAGTGAATTGAAATTTGCAGACAAATATAATAAAATTATTTTATTATTATTATTTTTTTCTACAAAAATAAAAACTTGTTTTCAATGTCACACTCTAGCGTAACGAGAAAATGCAATGTTAATAAATAAAAATTATTTTAAAATTATATATATATATAGATATAAATTTATACTGTATTTTCATATAAAAAGATCTATTGATAAATTGATTTTTTTATTGTTGTTATACATATGTTTAATTTTTATTAAACATTAACATTATTATTATTATTAATTTACTATTTTTAAACATTAATAAAACATCAATTTCTATATATAAAAATAATGATTGTGATAATAATTATAGAAAAAGTTATATAATTTTTATTATTTTTATTAGAAATAAATATCATATATGTTTTTATATATTAACTATATATATAGCATATAATGTATATAAATTTTTATATGTAATAAATTAGTTTAGATTTTAAATTTATATACTATCTATTTAATTTTTTTATTTTTGGGTATATACTAGTGGACAAGTAGATAGACTTAAATAGATAAAAACTTGATCAATGAAGCTTAACATACCAGAGCATTGGGAAAAAACCAGAGCACACACACACATACATACAGTATACATACCTTTCTAATCTATTGAATAACCTACCTGTGCTGTGCACATATAAAATACTTGTTACATATAAATTATTAGAGGTAGAGCTCAATGTACCTAAAATAAAAAAACTTTCACTTATATATTAAATATATATATATATATATATACTATACACTTCTATTACATACCTGTGCTTAGCTGGCCATAAAATGTGAATGTGCTTCAAAGCACACAGAGCACCTGTAGTACTGTATATACAGTATATAAATTTCTATGGATAATGGCTATATCTGGTATAGCTAGTTATGTAGGTCCAGACACCGGTGCTCTAGCTTATGTTGCTCTGTTGCTTAGCTTAACTTTTTTTATATTTAAAAAAAACATTTTAAAAATCATTGCATAACATTTCAAAGGCTATAAGGAAAAAATTTTATTTTTTTCTGGTCTCTCCTCTATCTATCAACCTATCTATCTATCTACCTGTGCGCGCCTCCCTTTAGCACTGGCAATGGTAATGGTGTGTTTGACTCTTAACTTGAAATTTTATTTTATCTCTCTCTCTCTCTCTCCCTCTTTCTCTCTTCAATAAGCAATAAGTGAGAGCCCATACATAAATGCATACATAAGTCAGTCACTGTTGTGTTGTTGTTGGTTAAGGAAAAACTATAGACAATCGAGAGGTACATACAGTATATATATATATATATATATATATATTGTATATACACTGTTGTAAACTACTCTCTTATGTCTAACCAAAATATATATGTATATAAATTTATATATTAAAAAACATACCAGTGCTTGTTTATATATATAGTTTAGCTAACTATTGTTTTATGGCTATTGTTTCCATAGACATTGGTTTTATATTTTTTGATATCAACTGTAATATAAATAATTAAGAATAAAATAAATAATTTTTTTTATATATATATGATATTTAATGTTATCTATATATCATTTAATTAGTTAAATACTATAAATGTATTGCAATAAAAAGTGTGGAAAATAATGTAAAATATTAATAAAAAATATATTAAGTCAACTAAATTGCTTTATACAATAAATATCATCATTATATACACTGTATTTAAATATTTTACTTTTTAAAAAAAATGTTTTAATCAACAAAAAAGTGCTTAAAAATGTGAGAATTTATGGAATAATTAAAAATATAAATATTTAATTTTAAAAAACAATTTGAAATAAAAAATAATTAAAATAAAAACAATGTTTTCCTCTATTTGTTGATAATAATAATAATAATAATAAATTTTGAATTAATATTTTAATAATATTAATATTAATAATGAAAATACTAATAATAATAATGTCATTGATTGTATAATGTATTAAATATATAAATATGTGCATGTTTGTTTTTAAATAACTTAATTTTTTTTAATAAATAATTTTTTTCATTTTGTTTTATTATTTGTCTTAAAAGAAAAAGTAAAATAGTTTACAAATAAATATTGTGTTAATCTTTTAGTCAAAAAAGTAAATAATTAAAAGTGCATTAAAAATTGCTTTTATAACAAATAAAATAATAATTATTTTTATTAAAGTTCTGTTTATATAATAATATAACTTCTGGTGAAATTAAATAAAATTTTAGTATATTTAAAAAAATATTATTTAATTTTAATTATAGTAAATTTTATTCAAAATTTTAAAAAAATATATCAGTGCTTTTAACTTTTTGACAATAATAATAATAATAAAAATGATAATAATATTTTAATATATTTGCTGCATATTATAATTATGCCATCATTATCATAAACAAATAATATGTATTATATGGTTTATGATAATAATCTACAGGTATTTATAAATTACAGTATACTTTATATAGTTTTACTTAGATTTATAAATTTAATTTTTAAAAATTAATTATAAAAAATACATGTATACACAATTTTATATACACTTGATAAAATAAAATTTTTATTTAAATAAAGTATATTTAATTTTTTAGCACAATTGCTCATAATTAAACTAATTAAAATATTTTCTGTTAATTTTATTTTTAAAGAAAAAATATTTAATTTTATTAGTAGTTATTTTTTTATTTTAAAAGTAAAATATTCAATCAAATGATTTTTAATTAAAATATATTTGAAAACAATTTCTAAGTAAAAATAATAATCATTTTAAAAATTAGTTATTTTGTTTGAAAATATTTATTAGTATTTTAATATATAAAATGTTTATTGCAATCATTATATTTTTAGTATAAAGATATACCAAAAAATATATTTATATATGATGTCATCAAATTATCTTATTAGTAATATTATATTTTTATAGTTTATTACTATTGCTTATACTGTAATTTATATAAATAATTTTTTAAAAAATAACTTTAAGTTTATATAGTATATTTAATATATAGTAAAAATAAATATAATCTAACTTCATATTGTATTAAAAAAAATATAAAGAAATTTATAATCATTATTATTATTATTATAAAAATATAAAATTACATTCAAATTATTTTTGAACATTATTTTTTACTATATATATAAAAAAACATAAATACATTTATAATTGCACAATTGTTCATTTGATTATTTTTTCTATTTAATATATGTTTCAGGGTAAAATTTTATATACACAAATACACACAATTGTATATACATTTAAATATAAATATTTAATATATTATTAAAATATTAATAACATTTGATAATTTATACATTAAACATATACTATTAGTTGATGATAATGATTAGCCGTGATTATCAACATGGTTTATACAATTGTTTATATATATATACACATTTGTATTTATATATATATATATATATATATATATATATCTGTATACATATACACACACAATATTATTGTAATAATATTAATGATTTTTTAATTTTGAGGTCACATAATCATCATCTCAAACAGTTAGCTGATTATTATAAGCTATTGTTTTATCTGATAAATAATAATTTTATGTTAAAATATATAATTAAATTTTTCAACAATTTTTATTAAAAAAAATAAATATTTAATCTATCATAATAATATACTGTTAGTTTAGTTGCTCAATTTTTTTACACTTTCAATATTTTTTGGCAATTTATAATCGAAAAAAAATTGTTAGTTAAAAGTAAAAAATTTCAATACACATGTATTTTATATATAATATTATTTATTAAATTTTTAGCGGATATACTGTATGTGTAATTTTATTATCATTTAGTTAATTAACGTAATTGTAAAAAATATATTTATTCATAAAGTCACATTTGTTTATAACAATTTGTTTAATTTATTGATATTTATTTTTTATAATATTATAAATAGTTAAGTAATATTTTCAAAAAGTTTTTTTTTGGTAGTGAAACTAGTTTTTTGTATACAGTATATACTCATTATTATTAGTGAAATATTAGTAAATTATTGACGTCAATTAGCATATACTGTATGTAATTTATATAAAATAATTTTTTAAAACATCATAATATTATAAATATATATATAACTTATATATTTTAATGTCTAATTTAATCTGAATTTTCAAGTATATATATATTTGAATATAGTTTTAATTGTTAATTATTTATTTTAATTTTAGTTTTACTTAATAAATTTTAATTTTAGTATTACTTAATAAATTTTAATTTTATTTTTATTTAGTATTCAACAATGATTTGACAGCAAATATTTAATATACCAACAAAAAAAACACTAACTAAACATAACCGGTGATTGATTTTGTGATAAAATATTAAGCAAAAAATATTAATAATAATAATAATTGTGTATTTCCGATAAGTTATTATTAATCATTCAATTATTTATATATATAAATGTTTGTATTATTTACATTAAAACAATAAGTATTACTATTTATATGTTTTTTTTTGATACATTGTTTTAACATTTAAATATTAATAATTAACAATTAAGTACTTTAGACAGTATTATATTATTACATTATTATTATTATGCATCGTATACCAAAACAAAAGTTGGTCACCCTATTTGGTTTGACCAGTTTGGTGGCCACTATGATAACCATAGCCCGATTTTCCTCAAGTCTAACCGGTCCGATACCCGGTGCCGGCAACCGATATGTTATATCGCATGAAAAGCTGATTGAATATCAGCAACGATTGCGATTAATAGCCAGTAATAACAATTCAAATGAAACATTGAATAACTTATTGGAAAACTTGATGACTATATCCTATAATAAATTACATGTGATTAGTAGTAGTAGTAGTAGTAGTAGTAATAGTAGTGACGATAAATATAATAAAACTTCTAGTATTAATAGTACTAATAGTGATAATAATTATAAAAGTGCAATAAATTATAACATACCGGTGCTCAAAAATAACAACTATAATAATAATAATAAAGTGATATCATTGTCATCGTCGTCATCGCAATCATTATTGTCATCAATAGATCCGCTTTCTTCATCCTCATCATTGTCTGGACTAACACGTGATCAGCAGCAACAACAACAACAGCAGCCAATCATTATTAATGGTAAAAATATCGGCACAGGTAGTCATCATAATATACCGGAGCCACATAATCAGCAGCAACAGCAACCACTTAGTGGTAATAAATCAATTAATAAAAATAATTTAATTGTGCCAACAATTGATAGTAATAATAATAATAATGTGTTAAAACTGTCGAAACAAGTAGGAGAAGCCAACAACAAAGATAATAATAATAAGCCTACAATTAGACCAGGGCTTAGAAAATCAAAACCAGTAGTAGTAGTAGTCGACCCTAAAGCCGATATCAAAACCAATGACATTAACATCGATGTCGACCCACAGGTCATCAAAAAAGATAGACAACAACAACAACAACAACAACAGCAACAAAAACCAGTCAACCCGTCATCGGCTGACAGTAATCTACAGCAAGTAATCGAAAATGAGGAAAAAGTACCGAAAATACCGGTCAAACCTAAACTGGTATTTGACAGCAAAGATCTGTCCACTACTGAGCACATGTTAATTGACAAACCCCTTGGTTGTGATGACGATATGGGCGCCTCATTGGATCTATTGGTTATTGTCAACTCGGCTGTCGACCACTGGGAAGCCCGGGAAGCCATACGCGATACGTGGGGCAAGTTTGCCATCGAACGGGGAGCCTATCTGTTGTTTCTTGTAGGCAGTTCCTTGAGTCCAGTTGTCCAGCACCGGGTGCTTATGGAAGATGAACGTACCAGCGATTTGCTACAGGGCCAGTACATTGACAACTATTTCAATTTGACATTGAAAACCATATCGATGATGCACTGGCTAAGCACCCGGTGCTCGCGAGTCAAGTACGTACTGAAAGTAGATGACGACATGTTTGTCAATATGCAACACATTACCGATTTTACCGAAACCCGTAATTTTAACAAATGTATAATAGGTTTGTAAAAAAAAATTTTTTCGATATTTTATTTTAATTGTTAGTTTAAGCATAAAGAGTAATAATAAAAAACTATTTTAAATAATTTAATTAATTAGTGTATTAATCAGTTAGTATTTTTTAACTACAAAAAAATAATTTTTTTAAAAAGTACGATAAACTGTAACCTAATATTTGAAAATAATTTATAATTTACAAAATCATTAATAATTAGAAATAGTTAGAAGAAATAACAAGTATCTATAAATCATTATTAATTAATTATTATATTTATAATAATTAAAATAATAATAATAATTTTTTTTAAATAAATATTTTTCTATATCTATATATAAACTAGGTAAATTGGCCAAAAATTGGAAACCGCACCGCAACACAAACAACAAATGGTATGTACCGCCCGAGGCGTTCAACGGTACCGTATTTCCTACTTTTGCTACCGGACCGGCCTATATGATGTCCGGCGATGCCGTCAAACCATTATACGAAACCAGTCTCAGGGAACGGGCCATGTATTTGGAAGATGTCTATATGACCGGTATTGTTGCCGAAAAGGCTGGCATCCGGCGCCTGAATCATGCAATGTTTCGCAACACACATGTCCTCAATTTGGATGAATGTTTGTTTAAGCGACTGATGACCAGCCATAAGCACAGCCCTGAAGAAATACGACGACTCTGGCAACTGGTCTATAGGCAGCCGCCAAAAGACTGTACAACACCGGCGCCCAAAACGGTCAAACCAGTAGTGGTGGCCAGTGTTGGTGCCGCCGCTGCGGCTAATAAAGTCGGCGCTACTCAAAAAGCTACACAAAAACCAGTGAATGGATAGACCAGTCATTTCATCCAATTTCTCTCTCTTTCTCTCTCTTTCTCTCTCTTTCTCTCTCTTTCTCTCTCTTTCTCTCTCTTTCTCTCTCTTTCTCTCTCTTTCTCTCTCTTTCTCTCTCTTTCTCTCTCTTTCTCTCTCTTTCTCTCTCTTTCTCTCTCTTTCTCTCTCTTTCTCTCTCTTTCTCTCTCTTSTCTCTCTCTTTCTCTCTCTTTCTCTCTCTTTCTCTCTCTTTCTCTCTCTTTCTCTCTCTCTCTTTCTCTCTCTCTCTTTCTTTCTCTCTTTCTTTCTCTCTTTCTTTCTCTCTTTCTTTCTCTCTTTCTTTCTCTCTTTCTCACTCACTCACTCACACACACTCTCCATCTATCTATCTTACTATCACTACTACTACCTACCGGTGCTCATAAATATTATAAGTACATTATATTTAATTAGTAATTTTATAAAAATTATTAAAAAATTTATTTATAATTATTTATTTATTTTTTTATTTGTATTTTTTAATTTAATTCATTTTTTGTTTGTTTAATTGATTAGTAAATCATTACATTTTTTGTTATCGTTGCTCAATAATACTGTATTATTTTTAATTTAGCAATGTTTATGTTAAACATTAATAACAATAATAATAATAAAATCATCATTAATTTGTGCTTGTCATTTTTTTAGTTTCTTTTTTTAATAATTTAAAAATAATTTATTAAATACGCCCAATCAATAAAAAATAATATGTTTAATAGTTTTAAAAAAAAAGTTTAGTTATTTTCTATTATTACAACTATAATATATATATATAAATAGTAATAAAAACTAAATTATATATATTTTATATTAATTTTTAGTAAATTTTAATAATAATAAGATCTCTTATTTATTTGTATATAAATCTTTATTATTTAACAATTATTTTTGTAATTGTTAACAATTAGAAATTAATTTTATAACTTTATTGTATAAAAAACATATGATTTTTTTGATGCAGAAAATAATTTATTTAATAATTAATAGTTAATAAGTTAATAATTAATAATATTTAATATTAAAGTAAATAAAAATTATTTCTACTAATTAAGCTGTTTTATACAAAATAATAAATATATTTCATTAAATAATATTAATAATTAAATAAATTAAATTAAAAAAAAACTATCAATCAATTGAGTACATTAGTTTAGGCACATTGTTTGATACAATTGTCTACAGTGTCAATAATTACCGCACCTTTTAGTAGTTTAAGCGCTTCTGTAGCCAAATTAGTACAAACCAATTGTGAACCGGTAGCAACTTTATCAATGATATCTATTATCGGATCGATCAATGAGCCGGTGCTGGCCAGACATGACTTAAATTTATATATATTATTTTTACATTTACCTAGAATTAATATGAGAGTAGTAAAATTATAATTATTTTTTTATATAAATTTATAATTACTAATTAAATGTTTCGGCAAACATATGATATACTGTATAAAATATATTGTATTTAAGTATTTTTGTAAATTAAAAAAAATAATTTAATATAGTTATTTACCACAATAAGCATCAATGTCCAGTGCATTACATTGAATAACCATGGTGATAATTGTCATAAATGCCAGTGCCCAGATCAGTTTACTATTGGTTATACACATTATTATTGTTAGATTATAATTTTTTAAAAATATTTTTTTTTATAAAAATATAATTAATTAATTAATATAAAATTAGCGTATACTGTATGATACTGTAATAATTTAATTATTATAAATTAAATTATTAATATTCAGTAAATTTTGTTTGTATTTTTTTGATAAAATAAAACTTGACGCTATTTATACCATTGCAAATATGCTAGTAAATAGGATTGCCAATAAAAAAAACTTAAATATTATAATCTTTAAAATAACTATTTTAATATTTAATAAAGTTAGTAACTTTTTTAAGTTTTAGTTATAAACATATTATGTCTTATAATTATTTTGTATTTATTTAATTAAATATTCATTATTTTTTTGTATTAAAATTTATGAAAGTATGATTTTATAATTTAGTATAATAATTAATATATTAGTGTAACTAAATATAATAATAAAATTTATATATTAAATTGTTGATATTTTGGTTATCATATAAAGTTTTTTAATGACTTTTAACTTTTTTATGTTAATTTTCATTAATCATTGTAAAGTCATTTGATTCATGGCTGTCAACTAGAAAATGATTGTTTAAAAAATGTTATTTTTTATAAAATAATAATTTTAATAATGACTATTAATATTAACAATGAACTTTTTTTTAATTTATAAAATAGTTAGAAAACTAAAAAACTGTTTTAATTTATTACAAATATTAAAAAAATAATTATTTTCTATTAGTATATTATTTTTGTATAATAAATAGTATAAAAAAGTATAATACTAATTATAAGATTAATATTTAATTGATAACTATCAAAATTGTTATTATTATTATTATTATTTTAATAGTGTATTATTTTATAAATATAAAAATCATATATAAAAATATATTCTATAAAAAGATATTAAATTATAATTGAATTTAAAAAAACAAACAAAATATCGATATCTTATTTACTATATTATTCACTAATATTTTTTTTACATATTTATAGATAAGATTTTATATATATAGTATTTGTTAGTTAAAACAATAACTTAATAGAAAAAAATAATAATTAACAATATTGCACAATTATATTGAAACAATTTTTTTAGGCACATTGATTGACACATTTGGATACATTATCTATAATTGCCGCACCATTTAATAGGCTGATCCCGTTTGAGGCCAACATTATACAAGTTAGTTGTGAACCGCTAATCACTTTATCGATAATTTCTACGACATTATTGGGCAATGAGACTACATTTGACAAACATAACTTAAATTGATTGATACTATTTTTGCATTTACCTATATAATAATAATAATAATGATAAAATATAATTTTAGTTAAAAAATTACTTAATAAATATAAATGACAAATAAAAAACAAATAAATTAATAAAATAAAATTAAATATTTTTTTTAATTACCACACATTGTATCGACATCAAGACTGCCCTGACATTGAATGACCATGATAATTGCGATAAATGCAATTGACCATGTTGCTATTATAAATTTTGTATTTATACAACTCATTTTTAAAAATAAAAATATGATTATTTTTTTTATCAAAAAATTTTGACTTATATAAGTAATAGACTTATACAGTATATAATATTGAAAAATAAAAAATAAATATTTGAACTATTTTTTAAAGTAAAAAGTTTGCACTATTTATATAATTATGATTTAAATAATAAATAGGCTGGCCAATAATATTAATTATATGTATGTAAAAATATTTAAAAAATAAATGTTAAAAATTATTATCAGGGTTATTGTATAGTTACTATTATTTAAAAAACCCCTATATTTTTATTATTTAAATAATTAAAAAAAATATTATTACAGTATTATATTATATATTTAGCCTGTTTAATTTATAAAATAAACATTATAAAATTCACATATTTAACTATTTTATTTTTTGGTTATTCTAACTCAACAAAAAAACTAATTTGTCATCTAATTATTTGTCTAACAACAAAAAAAAAGTTTTGTCGTTTATTTTCAATTATCATTGTTGAGTAATTTGTAACTGTTATGTAATGTAAATGTTTGTTAAAATATATTAGATATTTTTTAATATTAATGATTATAAATATATTTAGTAATCTTAGAGTTCAATCAGATCTATTATACTATTAATATATTATTTCTTAATTTTTAGTAAATAATGTAATTTATAGTCTTTTAAATAAAATCATATTTAATATTTTTAAAAAAATTAAAATTATAATAACAAAAGTAATTGTTTAGATTTAAATATTAGATATAATTTATTTAATTTTAAATAAAAATTATAGACTTTAAATCTAAAGTAATAATTAATGAGTACATCGACATAGTGTTAAGGTTTTAGTTTAATATTTATTAATTGTTTGTTAAAAAATTACAACATATATTACAGTATATAATTAATTACATAGTGTACTAATAATGCTTAATTTATAATTTATAAAAAAACGTTTAATACTTTTATACAAAAAAATTAATAATCTCAAAAAAACTTATTAGATAATAATATTTTTTAATAAAAACTTTATTGTATAATATTTTAGCAGAATATAAAATGTTTTGGATATCGGTATCTATTAATAAACTTAAAATAATTAATTTGATTAAATATAATAAAAAATGACACTAAAATTATTAATCATTTAAAAATATTAAATACTAAAAAAACGTGTAGTACTTGATTATATGTTTTATTAATTATAAAAAATATCATAACATATATTATTTTATATTTGATAACAATTTCCTCTATATTTATTTGTTGTCAACTAACCGACAGTTATTTTACGATAGTTAACGATAAATTGCGAAACAATTTACACCTTTTATAGCTTTATTTAGTCAATGATTGCCAAATAGAGGAGATTGTAATCATTACTATTATAATTATATAATTAAAAACTTGATTTCTCTAACTAAAAGCATTAAAAAAAATATATTTTTTTTAGTTATTTATTAAAATTAGTATCATCTGATTTTTGATAAAAACTAATAGATTTATTATAAATTTATTATAAATTATTTACCATTTGATAATAGCATATACCTGTATATTAATTTAATGTATTAATTAAACATATTGCTAAGTTAGTCCTACTAAATATCTATACAATTCATTACTAATTACTAATATACAGAGTTAGGCATATATGCCGCAAAATAGAATAACGCTATATTTCTGTCATTTTCATATTTATTTTTATCAATTATATATATATTTTTATAAAAATAAATTAAAATTTTAATGATAGTGTTTTTATTTTAATATACCGTCTGTGGAAAAACTGACTACAATATTAGTAAAACTAAGATTATCATGTAAATCTTTCACAAAAATCAACTAAAGTTTGTGTTGAATTACAGCAAAAACAAGTCAAATTTTACTAATTAAGTTAATTTTAATTAATTATAATTTTTTTAAAAAATATAAAGATTTATAATGGATAAAAAATTTAAAAAATTTTAAAAACTGCTCTATTTTTATTTTTACGATTATAAATATTTAATTTTCGATTGAATATTATTCAATACAATTAATAGAAGATAAATTAAAACTTTGGACTAATTTAAAATATTTTAAAGTTATAGAAAATAGGAATTAAATTTAAAATAAATATTAGTTTAAATCAAATATTTGAGTAGCAAATTAAATGAAAATTTCAAAAAACATTCTTTTTAGTATTCTAAATAATATTTTAAATAATAATTATTAAAAAAATAATGTAAAGATAAAATAAATTTAAATAATAAAAAAACCATTTTCATAAATAACACAATTTTTTAATTTGTGTTTTAAAATTTGAATAATAAACTATTTAAATTATATTGTATGTCATATGTTTAGTAAAAGTGATTTTTAATAAAATAAATAAAAATTAGATTTTTATGAAACTTAAAAAAATATAAAACCATGAATAATGTAAAATTTAAGTTTAAAGTAATTTAATGAATTTTTTTAAATTTAAAAAATTTATATTATTAAATTAGGCCTGAAAAATTAAGATTTTATTGAAAAAATATCGAAAATTTGATATTTTCATTATTTAATATATAGATGAAAATATGCATATCTTTAAAAATATCAATTTGTACTTTATATTATTTTATTATTTTTAAAAATTATTTTTAACCAAAACTTTAGTCTTTTTTTCACATTATAAAAATTATTTCAGATTTTTAATTCATGTAGTTTTTTTATAATGAATTTTTGTATTTTTGCGCCTTATATGCCTAACCCTGTATAAAAAACATATAATACTTATAATTAAATAAAAAAGTTAACATTACATTGTTATCAAAATTACATAACTAATTTTTATATGTGTAACATTTATTTATTGCAAGTATTATGGTTTTTTTTAATTTATATTATCTAACAATTTTAATGTAATACAATTAGTATTTCTATAAAAAAAAATAATAAGTTTATACTACCTTTGTATGCAATGTTTATTAATATAAAAAAAATCTAGAAATGCTAAATAAAATATTATATTTGATGATTAAAAATATAAATCTAAATTTAATTGTCTTGTAATTATCAACAAAAAAAAAACAAAACAAAATGTCATAAACCTTATATCATATTTCTAAACATAAAAGATAAGTCTAATAAAAAAAATTTTTGTCAGTATATATCTGTATAAAATAAAATAATAAAATACAATTATTATATTAATAATAGTAAAATACATATTAAATTTAATAATAATTAAACTATATTATAATTTATATATTTATTAGTATATAAAATTGTTTTTTAAATATTTATTCAGTGCATGGATATCACTAATAAAACTAATAACAAAAATACAAACTACTATAATAATAATAATAATATCATAACTATTGATAATACTGAAAACATCAGCAACAATGTACTACAACAACAACAAAATACTGGATCGGCTTTTACTACCAGAACCAGTAGAAACTCGATAAATGTACCCCAGATTATCATAACCAGACAGTTCAGCCGTTACCTGAATGTAGGTCCGGCCGCCGGATCAGCCGACGGCTACGGTGGTAGTGGTGGCTATGGCTATGGCAATGAGGACAACAATGCAACCATACAGTCAAAGGCCAGTATTAGTTCGGTCGGTCGGCTCATGCAAATGCTCAAAGTGGTCGATGCCCGGCGCCAGGAACGTTGTCGACGGCTATCCGAATCGGCCACCAGCTATTTGGGCACTGCCCTACCGGAACAGTACGGTCAGCGACAGACTATTGCCTGCTATAAACTACGGCTCCGGATCTACAATATGTTGCACCGGCCGTACGGTTTTTGGCCGTTTCTCTATCATATTGTTGTGTTTTTGTTGGTATTCCTGTGCTTGATATTGACAGTGTTCAGTACTGATCATAATTTTGAGAATGTATCATGGATGATTATGTTGGAAATGGAAAAAGTAATGGTCGGCTGGTTTGGCATAGAGTTTCTGGTCAGGTTCTGGGCATCGTCATGTAAGGTATGTCATGTTTGTCGACTATAGTATATAATATTATAGGTATATTCAAGGTTTAAACCTATTTTTTTTATAACCAATTATGCTAGTTTATCAAATTAAACTAGCATAAATAAACTAGTAGAAATTTAAAATAAGTATTAGGCATTTAATCATTATTTGATATATCATATTAAAATTAAAATATTTATTATAAAATATTTGTTAAATTTGTTATGTTTTATATTATGTTAGGCATTTGGTGATGACAAATAATTTATAATATTAATTAAAAAAAAACTTATCAAATATTTTTTAGACAAAAATATTAATTATTATTATACATGTAAACTATTTAGCATGGATAAATTTGTGTTATAAATATTTAGAGCAATGTTTTTATTAATTTGTTAAAATTTAATTTTAATTGGTATTCCTTAGGGCTAATTTTTATATAATACTAATATAATAGTAAGTAAAAATTAATAATAAAAATATTATTACAGTTTTTTTTATAAAAAAAATTTATAAAATAATTGTACCTAATTCAATTTATTTGAATTGTTTTAAGTGTGTTAGTTTAAACAAAACAAAAAAATCATGTATTATTTGAAAACTGTAACAAATATAGACGGTTAAAAAATATATTTATATAACTAAAAACAATTTATGAAATTAGTAGATTACACACAAAATACCTAAATTTTTATTATGTCTAGTCTAGACTTTTTTTTTTTACTTTAATTAGTAACAAATATTTATTTATTTTATTTTTTTTACTAAAAAACAGATACAATATCGTGGATGGCGTGGGAAAGTCAGGTTTGTATGGAATCCCTTACGTATCGGTGATATCATACTATTGATTGTATCGACCTGTCTATTATGGGTCGACTCGGCCGACGGTCATCTAGTATTCGCTGCGTTTGCTTTGCGAGGATTTCATCGATTTTTTCAAGTGATTCAAATGATAAAATCTGAACGCCGTTTCCGACCGGCCAGTGTCCTCATGAGTGTCATATCCGCACAGAGAGAACAACTGATTATAACAACGTATATCGGTTTTCTGGTCCTATGTTTTATGGCTTTCCTAATCTATATCGTCGAGACTGATGTCAATCAAAATTTCGATAGTATTGCCGACTCGTTTTGGTGGGCCGTAAGTGTCTTTTTTATAAAAAAAACTAGACAATCGGTGCCCGAAAAAAAATCTAGACTATCGGTGCCCAAAAAAAATCTAGACTATCGGTGCCCGAAAAAATAAACTAAAATCAATTGTATTTTCTAATTATTTTTTATGTTTTTATTTTTAATTAAACAGATTATTACCATATTTACCATAGGCTATGGTGATAGAGTACCGGTACGTATTTACTGTATATAAATTGTATTAATTTTTTTTAATTAATTAATTATTATATTTGTATATGTTTTTTTAAAAAAATGTTTTTATATTTAAAAAAATAATTTACAACTAACTAAACAAATTTATTTATTAGTTTAACCTCATAATTATGTCTCATGATTTCAAAATAATTTCGTGTAATTTATTAGCTATTAAAAGAAAATTTTAGTAATTAATTTACAAAACAAAAATAATTTATTATATAATTGGCTCCGGGACATGTAGAGAGAAAAAAAACGTAAACTTTGTACATTAATAAACACATCAAATTGAATATAAATAAATAAGTAACACATTTAACACAATTTTATATCTAGTACATTTATATAGTACTTTCATATCTATAATATTGATATATATTGTACTCAGATAATTACAAATATTAGAGGGTTATTAAAAAACAATAGTAATTAAAATTACAATAGCAATAAAAAAATGTACTGGTTGTAATTTATAACTTATTGTCTTTTATTTCAAATGGGATTGCAATAAATATAAATATCAAATAAATGTTTTGATAGTATAATAATAAATTTGAACATTAACTAGTAATACAGTTTATATCACAAATTTATAATCTAGGTGCAATATAATCTAGAATACAAGATAAATGTTTATTATAAATTTTTAAATTATAAATTTTAGTAATATTTATATATATTTATAACTTTTATTTATTTAAATTATATTAAAAAAAAATACTTTAGCAAAATATTACTTAATATCTATCATATTATAACTATCTATCTATAAATTAAGGTAACATGGTTGGGCAAATTGATTACCTGTGTGTTTACCATAGTTGGTGTGTCGATATTTGCATTGCCGGCCGGCATAATAGGTACAGGACTGGCCATGAATGTCCAGGAAGACCAGAGAGCCGAAAATCGTATCAAAAAACGCAAACCGGCAGCCATTCTCATACAACGGTGCTGGAGGTTTGTAAATTGAGGGGCCGGGGGAGGGTCGGGGGTGACGGACATACCTATTGATGTCGGTTTTTTCAAACTGTACAAGTATATGGATATATCTAATTATTATTATTATTATTATCGGCACAGGTATTACGCGGCCACTCCCCAGTCGCTATCGATAGCCACTTGGCTAATACATAGGCGACATTGTAATCTGATTACTGGACAGGAGAGGAATGCCATCCGATTTGTCCGAATGGTACAGTTTTTGTTGGCTAAACAAACATTTGAATCGCATCTACAGGAACGGGATGTTAGGGATGTACTCGAACAATACCAAACGGGACATTCAAGTATACTGTACAGGATTCGTGAAATACAAAGCGATTTGGACGTATTGGTCGGTAAAGTACAGACCAATGGTAAGCGTATGTTTGAGTCGAGAGCCGGACTCGTCGATCGGATCAAACGGCTGGAGACCAAACACGATGAGTTGGACGAGAAATTGGACCGAAATTTTCAACTGATTTTGGCCGCCATTAACCGCGGTAACAGTGGTGATGGCACTAATGGTAGTAATAGTAGTAGTGGTAGTGATGACCACTTTCGGCAGTCACGGCCACCGTCATCATCGTCGACATCGACGGCTGCAAACACTGGTGCCGTTCATACAGACGTAACTGAGTTGTCGTCTTCGTCTGGCCGCTGGTCCCGAAAATCGTCGACCACTTCGGCGGCAACTTTCTCAACATATAGCGCCGGTACCAGACGTAGCTCTGTTACCTAAAAAATAAATAAATAATTAATTATAAATTAAATATTATTAGTTTTGTTAAATACTGTAAATATTTTTTATTTAGTTTACATTATTATTATAATATCAAAAAAAACTATTATATAATTAAATTATAGTATTAAATAAAATATTATAATATAATTATAATATCCATATTTAATACACAATGCAATCAATACTACTGTATTTAAATCAAAATTTATACAGTATAAAATTATATAAAAAATTAAATAAATGTTTTAGATAAATTAAATAATTAATATAACATTTATAATATTGTAAAATATAATTTATTTTATAATTATAATTGTACAATAATATTATTTTTTATTAATAATTTATATATTTAATATTTAAAATAATAACTAATTCAAACTTGATTAATTAGTTACAAATAATATTAGATTATCTATTGTATGTTATAATAAATTTTAATAAACAGTAAAACTAACTAATTAACTAAAATACAAAAACAATTAATATATATATATATTTATAAGTTTTAGTTTAATAATAATTTTACTAATAAAATATTAGTCTATATTTATTAGAATTTAAAAATTATTATTTTTAAAAAAAAAAATTATATTTTTTAACATTGATACATTTTTGATCATTAACATTTTTACAAAATAAACAAATTCATGTTAAAATAATAATATATTAAAATTATATAATGATTTTATTATTAAAAATATTTTTATTTTTTTTTTGTATACTTGCTCATGTATATTAAAGAGCAAGACAACTAGGGTTGTCTAGTAGTAGTAATAGGGATGACGTTGATTGAACAACCCTAACGACAAGTATAAATATCTTCAGCAGTAATAGCTGTTTTAACACATACGACAAATTGTTTTGTAAATTGGTTACCGCCTACCTGAGCCATAGCCCCCAGCAATAATGTCAAATATTTCATACAATCCCTTTCCGTTTTATACGATTCCATGGCTTTGATATCTTCATGGCTGACACCTATTTTGTGTATACAGTTGACAAATCTGGTCCAACCTGGCTTAGTTTTTTCATTGTCACATCTATCTGGAGTATTTTTTAAAAATTTTGAGGTAAAAATTTAACTTGTTAATTGTATTTTTTTTTGTTTTAACTTTTAGTTATAACTTACAACATAATATATTACGCAATTTTCTTAATGGATCCGATGTATCACCAATTGATGAACGAAAACAAATTGTTAGCACAATTGCTATAACAATTAAATTTGACTTGCTGAATAATTGCATGGCCACTTTTAATTTTATCTATGTTAAATCTATAAATGCAAAATTGAAAATATTTTTAAAAAAATAAATATTTTTTTATAGTTTTAAACCATTATAATAATATTAATGTTGCTAAAAAATGATTATCTTAAGTTTAAAATGAGTACTAAATTAAAATAAAGCAATTTTTTTAAAAAATTAAAATAATAAACTAAAGTAATGTAATGTTTTAAAAATACAAATAATTAATAATGAAAATAATTATATTTATATTTACTTCTCTTTAATATAGCTGAAAAAAATTTTAGTTAATAATAATTAGAAATATAAAACTTATAATATTTATACCTAAAAAGCTTAAAGCCTAAAAAGTAGTTATAATATAGCAAATCATTATTGTATTAATTTATTAGTTTTCAGTTAATATACTATAAAATATTTACTTATTTATTATAATTGATATAAAATATAAGATTTATAAACTTTAGTAATTTTCTAAAATAAATTTATAATAGAAAAAATGATTAGACAATTTACTTAAAATTTAATATCATATAAAATTGTCATATAAAACATTTGTAAATAATACTTGTAGTCTATATTTATTAAAATAAATTACACTAATAGAGACTTTTATAATTATTATTTGATTATATTATAAAATACTATATACTCTATAAGTACTTTCATAATAAGTAAAATAAATTTATTTTGTAAATTAATTATTTTTGAAATAGTATTAGAAATAATAGTTTTTTAAAATAAATATTTACTATATAATATATATATAAACTACTAAATTAAAACAATAATGAAAGCAAAATAAATCATTTATATTGTTTCTATTAATTGCTAATAATTATAATTATTACATTTTGTATTAATATCAAATTTATTATTTATTAAGAAATAAAAATAAATACATTGTTTTTTGTTTAAAAAAATAATTATAATATGTATTAATAACTGAAAAAAATATAATAGAATTCTAATAGAAAATATCATAATAATAATAAAGAAAATTTTTACTCTAATAATTAATGTTTTAAAAAATAATAATAATTAATAATTATAAATAATAAGCAAAAATACAATTGTTTATATTTAATTATTTAATTAAATATTTATTTTTTAAAAAACTGTAAACTGTATTAGGATTTATCATTACATATAGTAATTTTAATTTAATCCATACGAAAATTGCATTGTGAATAATCACCTTGGTGAATACTATCTTGAATACAATTTAAATATTTTTTAGTAAAATCTTTGCCATTATCTTTATTTTTATGCAATTTGGCCAGGGTCACTGAATGATTATATACTTTTCTAATACATATCAATCCTCGACTGGGATGTCTTAACTTTTCCAGACCATTCATAATACCTGATCCATAGCCCATACCATCGAAACATTTAGTCAAACGTAACTTTGCATTATTAACAATATCCGGTTTGTCACAGAAAGCTATTTATTTTGTATTATTTTTTTTATAGAAAAAATTTAATTAAAAATAAAAATTTATAATGAAAATTATATTTATAATAATAATAATTACTTACAGCATATAATATAATCTAATTTTTTCAATGGCTCAACTACCTCGGTCAATATTGATGTTATGGATACAGCAATTAACAAATATATTAAAATACATTTAGTAGTTTGCATTTTGCAGTTTTTTTAATAATATATTTTTGTCTTTCAAATCTAAAATATTTTAGCTAAAATAATGAAATATTAAAATATTTTTATTTTTTAATAAAAAATAAATTTAAACTAAACTTAATATTTTGTTGCTATTTATACTTATTTGTTGTTGAAACTCAATAAACAAATAAATTATCCTAGCTTATTGAACTCATTAAAAGTTAAATATTAGATTTATTAATTATAATTGTCTAGAATAAATAATTAATAATAATGTTAATTAAGATTATATAACACATAATCACTACAGATCATTGTTTTATTTATAAAAATCAAATCAAATAAATAAATTATTAGAGTAAATTACGAAAGGTTATTTATTTATTTATTGTAAAATGAGGAAAATATTTTTATGAATAATACTTTTATTTTAAAATAAAGTTAGAAAAAATAAATATTTATTATATAAATTATTATTTTTTAAATTTTAACTAAATTATTTAGCATTGCATAACACACTTGAATACTGAATTAGTCAATAGATAATTGTTTTAAACATATTGGTGTTAATTTAATAGTAACTCATAAATTAGCATAAATAATAATAAAATTTGTACAAATATAAAATTAAGATCATTAATCTATTTTATTGAATAAATTAAAATAGTTATTATTAAACAAATTTTAATTTTAAAAAATTAATAATTATTATCAATACTAATGTAATTTAGTATTATAATTTTAATCTTAATAAATAGTAAATAAAAATATATGTTAAAAAACATATTAAATATAATTTTTATGTAAATATACAATTAAATTTTTACTAAACAAACAAAATAAATTGTTGTTAAAATTTAAGAAATATATAAATAAAATTATATTATTATTATTGACAATTATTTTGTTAATTTAATTATAGTTAATTATACAAAATAATAATAATAATAATATTTTAATAATAATAATAATAGATAATTAACCATGATAATTACATTTATCTTTTAGATAAGTCTTTACACAATTTTCAAACTCTTTTTGATATTTAATTATTTTTTCATTGAATATATTCTTTATGATGTGTTCTTTGCATTGAATTTTTGAATAATTATTACCTTTAATTACGCCAAATAAGTGTCCAATTTTAGCATCATTTAGACAATACTTAAAGTTATTCAATTGTTTCTTGTGTTCAATAGTCGGACATATTTCTAAATAATTAATTGAAACAAAAAAACAAATTTATTATTATATATTAAATTAAGTTATGATTATTTTTTTTCAACAAAAAAAAACAAAAAAAAACTTATATATGACTACTTATTTACCGCAAATAATATCGGATAATATTCTGATATTAATTGTACTAGATACTTTATTGATAGTACACATTACTATTGCTACAAAAATTACAATTTTGCAACAATAGTTCATTTTTATTTAATTTTTTATTAGAATTGATAAAAGTATATGATTAAATTTTTTTTAGATCATTGAAAATAAAAAAAAATTAAAAAAAATCTATATATAAGACTATGAAATAATATAATAGAAATTAAAACATATGTTTATACACTATTATATTTATTTATAGCTTTTATTTATTTAATAATATATACAAAAATAAACAAAATTTTACATTTTTATACGCAATTTGATATTACGTAAGATATTATCGCAAAACATATTACATAATTAACATATTATTTACTTATTTGTTTGTTTAATATAATATAATTATATTTATAGATAGAAATATTAACTACACTTTTTATTTTATTGTTTAGTATTTTTACTTATTTATAAGTTAAAACACTTTTTCTAAACTTTAAAAATTTAGTATTTACTATATTAATACTATATTAATAGATTATTTTTACTCAACATAATTAAAACTTTATATTTAATTTATAATTTAGTATTATTATGTAAATAACATTTTATATAACAAATTATAACATTTATTTAATGCAAACACAATTTAAAGTAATAAATTTTTATTTTATTTCAATATAAAGTAATATATTTTATAATAAAATTATAAAAAGTATCCAGGTCATAAATTATTTTTTTTCTTGAGAATTCGATTTAGAATTAATACATTCGACAACGGATTTGTAGGCAATTGGACTATTCATAGCACAATTGAATACTGAACCGACAACACCTCTATCAGTGTCGTCGCCAAACTGTTGTATAGCTCCGTGCGATTGTTCCACACATTTGTTTCGATCGTTTGGATATTTTTTGCGAAATGTCATAATTTTTTTCGTCAAATTAAAATCAACTCCACTTAAACATACAAAAAATTCGATCACATTTTCCACTACACTTGTACAACGATCTAGGTACATTTAAATTTTTTTTAAAAATTTTAAAAAATAAATAATTTCATTCATACAATTTTTTATTAATAATAATAATAATAATTAACTTATTAATATTCTAGACTAGATAAATTAGTTCTTTTTTATAAAAATTTATTAATAATTATTAAATATTAATAATTTTTTTTAAATTGAAAATAAATAAATATTTCTTACGACAGCGAGCCATGAATACAAAATCCAAAAATTCCGGTGCAGTCTGACAAGTGGTCATCCTAGATGTTGTTACAATAGTCATACTAATCAATATTATATATTTAATATTTATAAATTGTTGCATTTTTGTTGTTGTTTTTTAATGTATTATATTGTCTATTAAATTATTAATTAAAGTCAATTCAATTCATTAGATTAATAATATTTATTTTTATTATAGACAACAAATAGAATCCATTTTTTTATTAATTAAATATTAATTAACTATTTAATGAATATATATATAGTATACAAACATATTTGCAATTTAGCTAATATTTGATTTTTAAATATTTTACATTTTATTACTTTAAAATTAAATAATTCTAAATGTCTATTTATATATCTTTATAACTAACCTAATAATATATTATAACTTATAATTGGTATTATAATTTAGTTTTTTTAAATATATATATATATATATTTAAACAAATGTTTTGTATTATATTGATGTTTTCATTGTTTTTACTTAACTTTTTTCATAAATATTATATGATATTATATAAACATATATTATATGATTAATAAATATTGCATATTATATTGGTTGGTTTTTAAAAATTTATTTCACTGGCTTTATAATAATGTAGAAACGCAAATAAAAATTTCCTAATAAATTTCCCTAAGAAAATTTCTAGAATATTCAATCAGGAATAAATTTCAATAGAAATGTTACTTTATAATTTGAATATGATATAGTTAATTTTAGTTTTGAAAAAAATATAAATGAGCAAACTTAAAAAATTTAACATTAATTGTGTTCTAATCAATTTTATTTTTAACTTTATTACAATTATAGGATATACACAGTAGTAGTATAATAACATTAATAGTATAAAACAGTACAAACAGTACTGATTTACTTAATATTTAAATAATTTACACAAAAAAACAGTAAAATAAATAATTTATAAAACAATTATTTTAGAAATTCTTTAATAAAAATAATATATATATATATTATTAAAATTTTATTTATTGTAAAGGATATTAAAAATTTTTTTTAGCCATTTTTGCCATTTTTTCCACATTTACCCATAAAATATTCTTTGATACATTCATTCATCTTTATAATAGTTTTATCATTTTGATTAATAGAATTGAATAAAACACTGTTTGGACATGTTTTATGACCAGTTATAAATTTATCAAGGTCCAACTCAACATTATCTTTTTTCAAACAATTCCTAAAATTTTTTACTTGTTTTTTAGCTAAATCATCATTGCATCTTTCTATTTTTTTTAAATATGTATTAATTTAATATTAATTTAAACAAATTATTTAAAAGGTTATAATAATTAAAAAAAACAAGTGATAAAATTAAAAATAAGTATTAGTAAATTTTTATTAATTTTTTAATTAAATTAAAAATTATTTACCGCATAAAAAATTGCTTAGTTTATCCAGTCCCTTTACAATTATTTTGTTGTCTACATTATTGATTGAACATTGTATTACAATTGCCATAAAAATTACAACTTTAAAATAGATCATTGTTTTATTTGTTTTAAGTGTCTATACTTAAAATTTAAAAAATTATATTATATTATTTTGTTATTGCAAATTGTATAGACTTCATTTTTTCAGTTATTATTTTTATTAGTTTTTACTCTATTTATTGATATAATAAAAAACAAACATATTTGCAATTTTACTAAAAATTTTAATTAAAATATTTTAATTTATACTAAGTTAACAATTAGTATTAGTAGTAGTAATAACGTTAACAATGTACTTGCTGCTATATATTAATTGATAATATTACTAATGCTATTATACAATAACTAAAACTAAAACAAATAGTTCATTGTTGATTTTATTATTTTTTGGTTATACTTGATTGAATTATTTAATTTATAAAATAAATTTTTAAATTATTATTGTTAACCTGATAATTAAAAATTACATTAAACTAATATTATAAAATAATTTATTAAATCTGAATCTAAAAGATATTTTAAAATTATATAAAATTATACTTTTGAAAAATATATATATATTTGTATTAATTATTTTAAGTAAAAAAGTATGTCTAAATTGTGGCGTATTGTTTTATATCTATACAAAATAATTGTTACAATTAATGATATTTTTAATCTTTGTCAATCTATTAATTTTTATTTAATATATTTAATAATAATATATTAATAATAACGTATATAACTATTCATTTTTTCTAAATCTGAGTCTAAATTTTGAATAAATATAAAATATAATAATATTTAGTTTAGTTCAAAAATCATTACATTCATTTATTTAAAAAAAAATGATCTAACTATGACATTATTTATAAAAAATAGTATTAAAAAATAATTTTTAATTACTAAATTTTTATTTGATTATTTATTTTAATTATTAAATAAAAATCATAATATATTTAGCCTAAAAAAATATAATTTTATTAAAAAACTAAATTATTAGAATTGCAACAAAGTTCTATATAAATATACTGTATTTAATGAAAAAGTTTACATATTTGTATAAAATATATTTTATAACAAAAAAAAACTTTACAAAAATGTATATATAGTATAATTATATTATTGTTATCTAATATTTTAATTTTTCTTTTATAGTTGAATAATAATTATTAAAAAATTATTATTTTAATTTTTATGTATGACTTATTATTGTACATCTAACTGTTAAGTGATTGTTTGAACAATTTTCAATTTTTGGTTCAAACGGTATAAACTTTTCATCCGAAACATTAATAAATACATTTCGTTGACAATTATAATCGCCTTTTTTTAGTTCATCAACAATATGTCCGATTCCGGCTCTAATCATACAATCTTTAAATTTTTTCAAATGATGTTTGGCTTCATTACCCGCACATTCATCTAAAAAAAATAAATTAAATTTTATTAAAAAATTTATATTTTAAAAAGAATTAATTCAATTCAACAACAATATTAATATTAATTTTTATGTATATTTTTGTTATTGTTGTGTTATTGTAGACATCCATTCAAACACTTGAATAAAATAACTAATTTTTTTAATAATAAAAAAATAAATTTTTTAATTAAAAGTATTTACCGCATAGAAACTTGTATAGTCTACCCCGATTAATTGCACTGGCTGCTATATCAATTGTACACATTACTAATACAACAATAACTAGTAATTTACAATAGTACATTGTTGATTTTTGTTTTGTTTTTTATTAATGTTATACAAATGTATAAATTAAAAAAAACTTTATATCATTATTTTACAAATAATTAGTTATATAATAATTAGTATACGATTTATATACTATTTTGTTTTTTATGCTAAACAATAGTTTATTGGCTAATATTGGTTGATAATTATGGGGCAAAAAAATAGGGCAAAAAAACATTTTTGTTTCTATTATTATATAAGTGTTATTTATTGTTACTTTTTATTTATTTGTTTTCAATGAAAAACATGTTCACAAAAAAAATTGTTTAATAAGTTTTATTAGTTTAGAAAATTATAATGCATATCATTGTTATATAATTTATAAAAATAATTAATTGTAATAATTAATGGAATTTTTTACTCTTTGAATATCTATTGTATTATTCCATACTAAATATGTTTTTAAATAATATAAAAAAAATAAATAATTCACTAATAATATTATTGGCTTTACCAATAAAAATCTTTTGACATAATTAAAAAATATTATAAATTATATATTGATTAATATTTTATATTTCATTATATTATATTAAAATAAAATAAAAACATTTTTTTTAAATATTCAAGTTAATTCTACATATAAAATAATAAATGTTTTAATATAAAGTAGCATTATCATCTGACTTGAATTTTGATAAATAATTAAATTTACAAATATATATAATAAAAAATAAAATTTACTTATTTGTACAAATATTTTGAATATTTATATAGTATTACAATTAATTATACTTAAATTATATGCAAACTACTAATACTATTATATATTTAAACAATACTTTTAGAAAAATTATTATTATTAGAAATAATTTTTTTAAAATTCTAGTAAAATATATATTATTTTATTTTAAAAAAATAACATATGTTATTCAAACATTTTTTTAATAACATTTTTCACTAGGCTTACTTTTATTTATCTATTTTATTTATATTATTTTTAAATTAAAACTACAACTACAACTTCTCATAACTTTTATATTACTAGTAATTGAAATAATTGATGATATTTGAAATTTTCTGTTATAAATTTGAAATATTAAAAATTATTTTAATATAATATTTATTTAAAAATAATTTTTATGATTAATAATTAGTTTTTATTTATAACTATTAAATACAAATAAAAAATTTATAATAACATAAAATTATAACTTGGTTTAAATAATAATTTTAGTTAATTTTTATCTATACTTTTTAATATACTTGAATTACATTATATAATAAAATTTATAAAGTTTATAAACAATATCATAAATCATAGTTATATCATTTTTTAGTATAATTAAAAATATTTTTTTATACTTTATTTAACTTATACTTTTTATTTAATATAATACCCAATAATATATGTATAGGTGTTTATATTTTGTTAGTAATATATTTGAATTTACAAATAAAACACTTTTATCTAAAAATTTTCATAATTTCTTAGTAATAACAATGTATTATAAAAATTAAAAAAAATAAAATATATAAAATTCACGAATAAAACTTAAATAAATATTATTTAAACATTTTTGTTTTAATTTATATAATATAGATGTAAACCCTATCAATAATGATTTAAATCTTTAATATACTGACAATGCAAATATTTACAAAAAAAATATCAAAATGAAAAAACACTTTTTAAAATTTTTTTCAACAAATAAATAGCTAATATTATAATATAATAACTATAGAAATAATATATTTTATTAAAGATATTATACTATATTATTTTATTATAAATCCCCGTCTATTGTTTTGCTATTTTACTCAACAATTGCTTAATTATTTTATATAATTAAGCATTTATTTCTATAATACTTAAATATATTAATTTTTGATTTTTAAAAAAAATATTACATTAATATATTTTTACAGTAATAAAAAACAAAAAATATATATAATATTTCAGATTACAATGAAATCTAAATTA